GACCACCATATTGGATTCGCCATTTTGAATTTTGAAAACCCGACATCAAATTTGTAATCAGCAACCCCAAAAACCTTCAAGTAACAAGTTTCAAGTGAATTCGACGAACTTTTATAAATTTCAAACGCCATATTGAATCTGCCATTTTGAATTTTAAAAATCTGACATCAGATTCGTACTCAGCGACCCCAAAAACCCCTAAGTAACAACTTTCAAATGAATTGGTGAATTTTTATAAATTTCGACCGCCATATTGGATCCGCCATTTTGAATTTTGAAAATCTGACATCAGATTCGTAATCAGCGACCCGGAAAACCCCGAGATACCAGGTTTCATAAAAAATTATTAATTTGTACAAGATTTCCTATCACCTTTCATTTAAGGGTTGTTTTTACCCCTAAAAGCAAAAAATGACCTGATCTAGCAAAACTGCCAAACACGGGTATCTTTTTTTTGGTCCTAGTTTCTGAAAATCATTGATTTTTTCGTGTGTGAAAAATAAAGTTGAATTTTGTCGGACGGTGTAATTTATACAATATAAGCCATTTTTACAGGTACTTTATACGAAATTTAAGGTTATGTTGATATAAAGTAAACATAAAATAATTTACACCTAAGGGAACGTATAACTAATATTTTGTTGAAAAGTTAATTATATATGAAACATTGCCTATAATATTTTAAATGAATTTAAAATATATTAATTATAAATGAAAAAAATTCATACCATGTGTATTTCGCGTAGTTAAAAACAAATGAACAATATTTTATAACTATTCATAATTTTTTTTTGTAAATGCAATTCGTAAAAAACAGTTAATTTAGCTACCGAAAAACACTATATTAAGAATAGAACTATTATTTCACTAACTCATCACGTGTTGCTTCATCGCGCATTTCAATTAAAAAATTATTCTAATTGTACATTGACATTTAATAAGTTTTTAATGCGCATGTGCGTATCGGTTCAATCCCCAGCTCCTCCAAATTTATTTCCGAAAATTGCGCCGTTAATATTGGGGAAGAATAAAAGAAAGCGCAATAAGGGAAAAATAAATTTTTTTACTTTTACTTTTATTTAATAAATATTATAAAACATTTATAATAAACTTACCTTATAAAATTCACTGAAAACTTGTATTTTAATTTTACAGAAAATTTGCCTATATATCTTATTTAGAGTACTTTCCGGAGATAGTTTTAAAGAAATTCACAAAGCAAATTTCTGTAAAACTCAAAATTTAATATTTCCTAAACTTTTATCCACAATTTTTCGGCAAACTTAATCGGATAACTATCCTGAACTTCGCACCGCGAGTTATAAAACCGAGGACATATAGAGCTCGCCTAAACTTCCCCTGAAGCTCCCCAACTTAGTTTCCGAACTTTCCGAACACGGGGAACTCCCCGCGAACTCCCTGCGAAAAACGGTGCTGTCTGGGAATATTGTATTGAAATTTAATAATGTTGATATTGTACACTGTTAGAAAAATCTGTATTAGATTTAATATACATGCGTATGAAGCGAATATGCACTACAGGTATTGAAATCTAAGATACATGTATATTAAATTTAAAGTGACAACATGGCGGCTGTAGATGCCTATTTCACCAAACGGTCATTATTTCCTTGATATTGAAAATTTATTTGAAATTGAAACAACAGTGCGTAATTCTTTAACTATTGTGTTGTTTATGTCCAAATAATGTTTTATAAGGGGAAAATTTTTCAAAAAAAACATTCTAAATACAAGAATTTTAATACTTATATGTGACATTTAGGTTAAGTACTATAAATGTCAAATTATATGCATTTTTATAATGTAAACTGATTTAAACTTGTATTTACATGAAAGAAATTACTTTGCTTTATTAATAAAAACCTTATTTTGTACACAAGAACATGTATAAATTGAGTAAAATGCAATTTTTTTATTTGAATTTTTTTCAGTGACAAAATTTAATATAATTGGTATATGAATTACACTCTAATATACCAGTTTCTTAAATTTAAGTACTTTATGTATATTAAAACTACAAACATTTTTAACAGTGTAGTTATGCATAATTATGTAACTCTGACAGGCGAATCGACTAAATTTCAGCTAAAATTTCTTGGCCCTTTGCGTTATTATTATTTTACCTTTCAAATAATTATTTAGGGGAGGGGGGGTGTCACCTTTGAGGTCACAGGAACAAAATTTGGTTTCAGGGACATTATTTCTTAATTTTTTAAGTTTACGAAAATATATTTATACTTAAAAAAAGTTTCAATTTGTTGACTATAGATGCCGTTAAAGTTGGTCTCGTTTCTCTGCAGGGCAAATCGGTGGGCAAGATTCCGGTTAGACCGTTTAATATAAAAAAAATTCAAATTTTTTCTGAATCTGTGATAGATTTAGCTTTAGAGTACGTAGGATATTTTAAAATATTAATTTTTGTGGATTTGGCAGTTATTTGAAGGAAGAAGTCGATTTTTAGGGCGAAATTTTTTCAAATAATCTATTGACATAAATAAACAAACAAACCAATAAAAAATCCGCTACGTACTCTAAAGCATTTGTAAGTGACGATCAAAAAAAACTTTGGCCGAAGTCAATCCGATCAAAACTGTTCGAGCTAGACTGCCCACCGTTTTGAAAAATGTCATTTCGAGAAAAACGCGTTTAAAGTTTTGACATATGAAAACTCTTAAAAAAATGAAATCAACGTTAATCTGCGATGCCTGTACCGTATAATTGGCCTTCTACATTAATATTGGCTTCATCTTCAGCCTTTCGAGCGGCTCTGAGCGTAAGAGCGCTCTTGGATACCTTCTGCAGATTTCGATTTTTTTCACATAAAATAAATTCGAAAACGCGATTATTGATATAATTTCTACTCTATACATTATAAAGTAACGTTTAAGAAAACAAAAAAAATCGATTTTTTTCGGGTCAAAGGTGTCACACCCCCTTAAACTGTGTTATTATTTTCAAATATACATTTTGTTTCGAAGATCTTACACACATCCACGCTAATTCTAACTCATTTGTTATCAAATGGAAAACTTTATTAAACACTAGCAAAATTAAACGCGCGCGAGCGCGCCAAATTGGGTATTTAATTGTTTGTTATAAAGAAATTAAAGATTAATATTATCAATAATAATTTAATTTATTAGAATATTATTACATATTAAATGATAATAATGAAAATTATATGTTTACAGGCCTCGAATTATACGACTTTTTTCAAAAATACGACTTTTATCGATGCGATATTTTTTTTTTACATTTGAAAAAAAATGTAAATAAAATACCTTTTTTTAATATAAAATGTAGATCTTCTTCAGATCTTCTTCAATTCAATTATTTAACTTTTGAACTAAAATGATTCTTTATTAAATTAATTATTTTAATAATTTTAATGAAATACATCACAAACTCAGTTATATCAAAATTATTTTTCAATTAAAATTTTTATGAAATTTAATAATTGTTTATGATTTAAAAAAAATATTACAATAAAATTGAATTATTTTTTAAAAATTTCAATTCAAAATAAACCAGAATCCAATTATTACCCGAAATTGTAATTCAAAATCAATTAAAATTCAATAATTATCCAAAATTTTCAATTTAAAATTTAATTATTTACCAAGTTTTCAATTGAAAATGAAATAAAATTCAATTATTTTCTAAAATTTCTATTCAAAATTAATTATCCAAATTTTCAATCAAAAATGAACTTAAATTAAATTATTAGATATACAAAATTTCAATTAAAATTCAAATATTTCCCAAAATTTTCAATTCAAAATTAACTGAAATTCAATTATTTTCCAAATTTAAAATCAAATAAAATTTCATTATTCTCAAAAATTTGAATTCAAAATTAATTGAATTTTCAATAATTTGAATTTAAAAGTATCTAAAATTTAATTATTTCTAAAATTTTCCATCGAAAATTTTTTTTTTTTTGAAATTTAATAATTTCAATTATAACTTTAGGAAATTCAATTATTTTTAACTATTTTAATAATATTCTTTGAAAATTCAACTATCTGAAACCATTTTTCAATTAAAAATGATTTTCAAATTATTGTATTTTGTCCGCATTTTCTAATAAATTTTTAGTGAAATCATCTAAAATTTTAATTACAAAACACTTAAAGTTTCAATTAATTTCAAAAATCTCAATTTTAAATCTTTGAAAATTCAATTAAATTTAAAAAATGTTTTCCAAAAATTGTTTGATAAATTATTTTTAGTTCTGTAAAATTAAATAATTGTTTGAAAATTAACAATATCTTTTGAAATTCAATTATTTTTAAAAATTTCAACTTTAACCCTTCGAAAAGGATTATTAAAAAAAAAATTTTTTTTTTAAAATCTGTAAAATATTTTTGTTAAAATAAAAAACAAATCCACTTTTTTTTTAAATATAAATCGACTAAAACGACTTTTTGTGTCTTTAAGTTGATTCGAGGCCTGTGTTTTTATAATTAATATTTAATAGGTATTCGTTAGCCCCTGGTACCTTAAAAAATAATTTATAAAATAAATTTTTTTCAAATTACTATCTTGTACGAAATTTCCTGGCGCATCTTTTTTCTCATCATAAATTTTTTGTGTTTGTATACAATTTTTGAATCAATATACAACTTTAAAAAAAATTTCGTTGGTAAACGTTGTGTACTTCAGCTTCGTGAATTGAATTTTCGAATTTGGAATTTTAAAGAAACTTATTCCGAAATTTGGAAACACAATTATACAACTTTGGAAAAAATGAGAAAAAGAATTGTCAAAATTTGACACGTCATAAGATTACTATTTCTTTGCAGCCTAAGTTGTAGCATAAACAAATTCTTTAGTAGAGATATTTTAATGATTTTTCTTTCATTTAAAAAAAGTAATATACACATTTAATTATACAAAAATATCAGTAAAATTTATTGAATTATATAAAATATAAGGACATAAGGAAAAAATTTTGATTTATAATAAAAAGCCGTCAGTATTAATTATGTATTTTTTATTTAACATCAAAAGTAATGACACTTGGGTTGGACAATGTCTCTCGTTTATTCCTTAATGTATTCGCGTGTGAAAACAGAACTTATAGATAATCATACGAAAGGAATATTTATTTTGAAGGTATAAGATAGTAGACAAGATCAATGTGTGTACAGGTGGATGTGTAGTTGCGTTTTTTTTGTGTATTTAATATGCGTGCGTGTAACGGTGTGTAATACATGTGCTGCTAACGAAAACACAAAAACTGTAGGGACTCAAGCGTCGAGTGTGATCTTCCGTTACGTAATCGGACAGGTCATTCTCAGGCGAGTCCCCAGTCACGCACAATCTGCCTGTCCGTTTTCAATTATTTAAAATATTTACAATATTAATAAAACATTATTCAATTTTTCTCATAATCATTCAATAATTCTGTAACATGCGACGGACTGTACAGGCATAACGCTCTTACTTTTTCATTACAATTTTCAACTTGCAAACTCGCTTATTTTTTGGTTCATTTCTATCTTCGAATATTTACATTTCTTCAAAAAATTTGATCTCAGCGTCTTTTGTTCTCGACTAAGAATTTCAACTACGAGAACGCGACTCATGAAGAAATGCTAGATAAATATAACCTACACCTGTTCAGTCCGTCACATATTTTTCTAGTCTCGCACCTTCTCCACTTATCATTTTTTTTTAAATTTTTTTTTTTACTTAAACTTACTTTGTTTTTTTTTCTTCAACAACACGAGCTAAACTAAACCATATATAATAATTACATCTAATAATATCTTATTTTAACATGTATTATATTATCATTATAATAATAATAATTATTATTATATTATTATTTAAATTATTAGCCTAAAATGAGAGGCGGCGCACGATGGCAAAGCATTTTATTTGGGCTTCTACGCCCCCCGACACGGAACACCCTGTCAACAACCGCAGATCCATCATCTTTCTCGCAAGCGTTTACAAAAATCAATGCCGAGCCTCCGATTGCCTTCCTCTGGCAAATCAGCCTTCCTCTTCGATCAGTTAAATTATTCAACACGTAACACTGCATCATATTAGGAACTTAATTTTTAAATATTTTGCCAATCGCATCGTATTTTATCAAGTAATAAGAAGAATTGCGCAAATCCATGAAACAAGTCTTTATTTGGAAAAAGGAACAATTATAAATGACATTATTTTTTTTCTATGTACCAAGTGTTGATTAATAAAACTTTACAGGGTCGTGGTGTTAACCTTTTTCGATGAAATAAAAAAAAATATTTTTTTGCACTCGGCGCATCCTCTGGACCCCACCAGTCTCCCACAACAGAATGTGACGATTTTTCACTGGCGGGAGATTCGCACAGCCCCTAACAAGAAAAAATAATGAGGAGCTCACGCATTTCTTGCTGCTAGCTCGATTACTTTCTCTCTTCTAATTGATGGGGAAACTGGTAAAGGAAGAACGTGCATTTTATAACGCGTGTATGACATCTCGAGAACATCTCGATTATATGAACACTTTAGGTAGGTTTCGGGCCTGAGTTTCCGGGCCGAGACGTGAGCGTGTGATTGTGTTACATATGTACGTGATACTCGTCATGGATAAAGGATTTTCTAATGTACGTCGCACAGATAACGATATTATCGAACCGGACAGAGCGACAAAGTCAGAAAATCCAATATCCAATCAAGGAACATTTTGTGTGTATTATCTGTTGGACCCGGTTGATCTCCGATCCCAAAAGTCACATGGCAGGCATTTAAGTCACTTTTGTAAAGAGCGTTATTCGACTCGATACCGTTGGTTGAGAACAGGGCGTTCGAACGTTTCGGGGTTGAGTGATTTCTCGATAGCGAGTTTTGTACACCACTGGCGTTTTACAACCTATGAAAAACTAAGAGAATGAATGTTTTTATCCTTACTGTTTTTCTTTTCTTTAATTCGATCACCTACGTAAGAATGTGTTTTTTTTTTTTTACTTTCCCCCTTTTTCTTCGTCTACAACCATCCTGCTCCTACTGTTTCTCTCAACTCCTATTCACGTTATACTTTATTACGATTGAATCAATAACAGTTTCCCTCCCACCCCACCCTAACCCAAACCCTATTTTTTAATTTTTTTTTTCTTTTTTTTGGTCGCGGTGTACTTTGGCTCTACGAATACCGCGTCGTCCGCGTAATAATTTAATTCAAATCTCCTGTAGTTGGTATTGATTGGCTAATATTTATACTATTTGACTTGTTTTCGCTTCCTGTGTGTTTCGTTCAAGACTCAAACTACTGATTATACGCAATCTGTTCATAGCTACTCGGAATAAGATTAAAACCGAACGATATTATTTCTTTTACAATAATAATAATAATCATAATAATAATAGTAATAATAATAATGAATACTGCGAACGCGTTTTTTTTTCTTTAAATATTAGTTACTTTATTAAAACTTCTTTTTTCTCTCTTCAACTAGGGCGTGCCAATCTAGCGTACGGTTTTATTCGTTAGCAATTTTATAGACTTGAGTGAAGATTCCTCATGTTGGGAGACAAACCAGTTGTTCTCTGTCTTTCTTTCTTTCGCTGAATCTAATATTTTAATGAATTTCTTAGTATCTTGAATTGTTACTCCACTTCTTAGTCTCGAATAACTAGGGCGTGCCTCGTTTGATTAATGATGAGAGAGAAAGTTGAGATGAAACTTCTCGATATCACAAGACATTCGAGCAATAATCTTTAATTTGTTTGGCGAGTTGCATCTTCGTCTTACTAAGATTTCTCCTCTGTATTCTTTTTTAGGCCTTTCTTAAATTCTTCCGCAAACAATCGTTTACTCTTGGCGTCGTCATTCCGTCCCTCATAGATACGAAGTCCGTATTGACTGAAGATTGTTCAAGTCTGAGCAAGCAGAGCAGGAATGACGAGTTACTGTTTTTTTTTTTATTTATTTTAACAGCGCCCTAGTCTCAACGCACGATGTCGTCCACGTAGAACACTCTTGGCGACGTCTTCGTCGTTGTTATTGGTTTGTTCGATGTGAAAAAACCTAAAGCCAAGCGAATCGGCTATAATAATGATGAATGCAGTCAAGCCTACCTCGCGACGATGATAGACCCAATAGCACGCCCTATGTAAAACGTGTAAATGTATGTATTTCTTTTTCTCGTGAATGATTACTTTTTTCTCATTTTGTAAATGATTTTTTTTTTATTTTTCTTTTTTTTTGGATGTGTTTCTGCGTGGGTATGCTTTCTCTTCTGCCGCTGCTTCTCTATATATTTCGTTGCGACAGCGCATCTAATAATAAGTTTCTTGTTCTAGCCAACCACCTGGATTTCGACGAATATAAAATCGTCTTGTTTCATCGTAAATGAAGATGGCCAACATGAATGGAATCGCTGGTAACCACCAAACAAATCTGAAATCAATCATGAGACACATTAATATTGTTTCATCATAATTAACAAAATAATAATAATACCGTGTAATTTATAATAATTATTTTTTTTATTTATTTATTTTTAAAAATATTAGAAATGAAGAAAATTTTATTTTTATTAACCCCTTCTACAATTTAATTAACTTGCAGAAATCTGTACTAAAATGATTCAATTTATCATGTATAGAAAATTTTATACCTCAACATGGTTTAATAGTTTTAGAGGTCGTTGATTATGTATTTGATGTCAGTTTTTGAAAATTCAAAATGGCGGATCTAATATGGCGGTTATTTTTAAAAAATTTCACCCGATTCGCTTGAAACTTGTTACTCTGTAGTTTTCAGGGTCGCTGATCACGAATCTGATGTAATTTTTTCAAATTTTAAATAGCAGATTCGAAAAGTAAACAGTTCCAACATTTTATGTACTCCTAATTTAATATTACATAATAATTAAAAGTATTTTTAGATTATAAAACAACGGATTCAAGACGTTTTATTATTTTTCTATTCACAAATAACACATTAATACTCATTAACTAAATTCTGAAATTTTTCTCGCCATAGTGGATCCGCCATTTTGAATTTTTAAAAATATATCAGACTCGTATTCAATGACTCCGAAAACCCCCAAGTAACGATTCTAGTATGTTTATACTTTATTAAAATTAATATGGTCTTAATTCCCAATAATGTTGTAAAATTTTACTGATTGCTCCTGTTAAAAATAAATCATGAAATCTATTTGAAAAAATTCAAGTTTTTGAAATATTTGATTTCTCAAATTTGTTCGAGATCAGGAAAAGTTCAAGTACTTGAAACCATTCAATAACTTGAAAACTTTAGCAGTTAAAACAACTCGGCTCAATTTGAACTCGACTTGAAACATGAAAAGCTCGAAATAACTTTATCGAGTTTCGAACACACTTCTAATGTATCTAATATTGATATGGATTGAATTGGATTACATTTTTTAATTAATTTTTAAGTGCAGTTTTATGAAAATATTACATTTCAATATTGATAAAGAGAAAGAATCTTAAGAATATTTTAATACTTACGTTTAAAAATTGAACGAAAGTGACATTTTAATAATAAATCTTAAATTAAAATATAAATAATTTATTTCTCGTTTTTTGAAAGATTCTGCGAAAAATTCTTCCTATTGACAATACTTGAATATTTTTCAAACAGTATTTTAATTTTTTTTTAAACTCTCTTTGCAACTATTAAAATATTCTTTAGATTTTTTCATTTCGTGTATGAATTATATAAATGAAAATCTTACTTGAGAGGAAACATACGAAGACCCTTGTCCATTCCAGGTGTGTAACTCAAGAAAGCAGCGAGTGCTGTTTCAAAGACTAATCCAAAGTTGAGAGCCCAATTTCTCATTCCTTGATGGAAGAGGGAATTCCGTCTTGTTTTGCAGACAATCAAGTCAGCCCATTGTACTATGACAATCGACACGAAGAATGCCGTGTGGCAGGTGAATTCCAACGTTTTGCGATCTCTGTATGTCTGTAGAAAGAATTTCATTATTTTCAGGTCAAGAGAAAGAAATTCAAATTTTTTTTTTCCTCATTTGTAAATATCTTCACAGAAAAAACTTGAACTCATTTTTGTTGCAATTCATTTTGAGTTAGATATTGAAATGAGTAAGGAAGAAACTTTATGTTACACAAAATGATCCTTCTCGGAATTTCAAATTTCTAGGTTGTCATCATTTGCAGAGTATAATTTTTTATTACAATTATTTTTTCTAATATTTCAACAATACCGGAAAGATTATTTTTACCAGTATGAATATTAAGAAAATTTTTAAGTAAAGAGTATTAATTATTATTTATTAAGATAATAATTAATTTCATAAATTTTGAAATTTACCGCTATTATTTAAGTTGGCAGTATCGTTCCTGTCGTTAAAAGTTAAAACACATGTTTTAATTTTTATAACCTTAAAACATATTTCCTTTATTATTTTGTTACGCGATGACAAGCAGTTTTCAATTAAATATATTGAGACTAGCATGTTATTAACGTCTGGTAATTATTATATTTCATGTATTTGTGCAAAATTATTCGTTATTTCACAATATTTTCGCCTTTTTCTTATTCTCAAAATGAATCTTGCCTATTTCATTTTGATACTTTTACCTTAGAACTCGAAATGAGACAATCAGTTTCATTTTTTATGCGTATCAATTTGAGTCCAAAATTCTAAATCAGTTTGAGTTCAGGTTTTTTCTGTGTTCGATGAGCAAAAGCATGTCTTGTGTAATAATTCAAGAATATTCTTTTTCTGAATGTAACGTTCGCTTCAAGAATATTCTCATTAGAAATCTTAAAAATTTATAATTACGAATTTTACCAACTTGAATTTTTCAAAATCAGCTATTAACAAAACGAAAGTTACTTCACTTTACACACTGAAAATTACTTTACGCACACTGCTAGTCAGGCGCGGATCCAGAGGAGGAGCCAAAACAACAATTTAACGCAAACAAAATTATGATTAAAATTAATTGCAAACAATTTTAAAAGATCTGGTTATGCATTTTGCAGAAAAACTATGTTGATTCAAAATCTTTTTTTAAATAATTATTTTTTTTAGCATGTTTTAATATTTTTTTTCTTTCAGCTCAGACAAAAAGCACAATTTTTATCTAATTTTAATAAACAACGTCTTATTTTATTCAGTTAAACCTACTAAACAATCGCTTATATTTTAATATTATTAAAAGTAAGTTTGGATCTGCTGCTAGCAATGTGTAAAGTAAATTTTAAGAAAATAAAAAAAGAGTTATAAAAAGAGGCACTTTGCACAAAGTTTTCCGTACATAAAATTCAACTTTAAAGATTAGTGTTGCAAAACGACATTTTTCTTTTTAATTTTCTAGTTTTTCTAATTACAATTGTTACAATATAATTTTTGTTTAAATATACTGACCCATTCCTGTCCATAGCTGTCCGTTAAATCGTTTATAGCTTTTGAATCCCACATTTTCCGGATGCCGAAAAGCTTCTTCGGTAGAAATCCATTCTCAGCCATAATAACGAAGTAGACAAAGAAACCCGCTGCTGCTTGAATCATACCAATCTGTCCATACGCCATGGAAATAAGCCTAAGAAATATGAAATTTTTATTAGAAATTTATTATTGTTAATTAACAGCTTTTTACTACTTACTACTTACTTTAGTATGATAGTAAATCTACATCGAAAGAAATCTTTTGCAACAGGATTCTCAATTTAAATTCATAATATTATACAATTTTTTACATATTGAGAATCCTTTATTGTTTGAAAAGAATTTTTTTACAGATTAAATAAATATATATATATATATATATATATAGAAAAAAGCTTTGCCTCTAATCGTCTAGTTTATTGATACACTAAGAGCTTAAGGTGATTAGTTTAAAAGCCAAGGTGACTTAGTTCAGTCGTTTACTTACCAATTAAGGTATGTACTTACGGTAGGAAGTGGTACACACTTTTCGTCTAATGAGCATGCCATACTGACAGCTATTATTTCATGCCTAAACTCGCTTTTCTATTTGATTATGACAGTCAATTATTAAGAAACAATTAACTTTTCAACAATGTTCTTTTACATCTTATTGTACAACTTTTAAATCAAATATAAGAAATTTTTTTTAAATCTTTTTTTTAATATCGATTCATTAAAGTGAAAAATAACGTAACTACATCAAAAGAATCTTAAAAATTTTAATTAATTCTAAAAAGTGTCTTTCATCAAAACCTCAGTTTTTCAGAGTCGCTGATTAGGAATATGAAGTCAGATTTTAAAAATTCAAAATGACGGTTTCAATATGGAGGACGAAAAAAAATAAAAAATCAGTTTGATTAGCTTGAAACATGTTACTAAGGGGTTTTTGGGGCCTCTCATTACATATATGAAGTCAGATTTTGCAAATTCAAAATAGTAAGTGTCAAGCCAATTGCGTTCGATTTTCAAAATATCGTCCGCCATTTTGAATTTTTAAAATCTGAATTCAAATTCGTAATCAGCAACCACAGAAATCTTTTAGTAAGGTACGACTTTTATTTTCTAACTCATTTATTGACATGAAATGCCATTAATGCTTTTAAAGAAAAATTTTTAATTTTTGAAAAATACAGAAAAACAATAAATAATAATGTTGAAAAGTGATTGTTGTTATAATAACGGATGTCAGCTTTTCTATCAAAAAACGAGATCTGACATATTATTCTACAGCAATTGTAATCTTTTTATATTGAGAATAGAATAATAGAAAATAGAAAATTTCAGTTACCATACAAATCTGCAAATGCTAGTTTTAAAGTTCTTGCAAAAAGAGTACAAATATTGTAGAATTGAGTATGTTAATAGTGATATTATATTTTTTGTATAAAATATACTAATGTATAAGTAAAAAAAAAAGTATTTTAAGTTCATTCAGTGAGATTAATTTTTGTTTTTTAAAAGTGTCAATTTCGTTCTACTTATTTTCAATTGTTGAAAAAGCATCGTGGGTGATTTAATATATATTAAAAACATTCGATAAATGTAAAAATATATTGCCAGAATAAATAATCCCTGCATGCGTCTAATAAGTGTTTGAGTGATAAAATTTGCTGTTTGTTATAAATAGCAGGTGATATTTTAGATTATTAGCTGCACATTTAGATTGAAGATTTTGAATTGAATAAATATGATGAATGAGTGTTTGAGAAAAAAGGAAGAAAAAAAGAGGAAAGAAGAAAGAAGGAGAAATGGAAAAAAAAGGGAAAATATTTAAATGTTTGAGACTTATTTATAGTAAAGACGTTTTATATAGTAAAACAAAAAGTGTGCTACTAGGACACACAAAATATGATAATTATTCTATCCACGTGAAAAAATTCCCGGAAAATTTCGATGAAAATAATTTTTGAAAATATTAGAAAATTATAAAATAATTTTTTAATTGCATAAAAAAAATTTATCGTAATTTTCATTGAAATTTTGATTGACTCTGAGAAATATTTCATGTGGGTAAAATAAAAAAAAATTCTGTAAACATTCTAAAAAAATTAAAAAATAGTTTTAAAAAACGTCTTTTCTGCTTATTTTTCAAGAAAAAATGGGAACTTATTGCAAAACAAACTGCTGATGCTTTACATGCTTTTTTGCAAGCACATAGCTTTTGTACATTCATATTTCTTCAGTATACACATTGTAAATGTGTCATTTAATTCTCATAATTAGGTGCACTTATAACTAATCACACAAACAAAATTTTAACTTTTAAAGAAATTCTAAAAAGCATTCGGCATTCTTCATATCTAAACCCCTAAACAGTGACGAATCACTAAACCCTAAAACATTTGGCATTGATTTACAATTCAAATGATGATCTACAATGTTCTTGTACAAGTGATGTGTATTGTGCACTAAGCACACAAGTGTCATTTTGAACTCCCTAACTAAAATTCAGAAAATTTTGTCAATTTTCGAATTGAAACGTGTTTTGAGTTTCTATTGGGAATTTTGAAATTTTCAACAAAAATCTTGATTTTGTTTTATTATACAAAAGAAACTGAATCGTATTAATTTTAATAGAATAAAATATAAATATAAAAATGGAACGTTCTACTTCAAGCAAATCAGTACTCTGTACATAATTGTATAGGGTCGATTTTAAGGTTTAAGGTCTCAAAATTTTCGTCTTGAAGTACTTTTTCATTAAAAAAATTCCTTCTAAAAAAGACCTTTTAAAAAATTCAATATGCCGGACAAAATATGATACATTATATCGCTAAAAAATTGAAAAATTTATAATTAAAACGTTATAAAAGTAGCAAAAAATGTTCAAATTATCTCTAAATTAAGCACCAATATTGCTAAAGTATTGCTAAATGAAAATATGTACAGTTTTTAAAAATTCAAATGGCAGAAATATTTAAAAAAAATTGATTCAATTTGCATGAAACTTGTTATTCGAGGGTTTTCGGGCTCGCTGAATACGAATCCGAAATCAGTTTTTAAAGTTCAAAATGGCGTATCGAATATGGCATAAAAAATTTTTTAAGTTGATTTAATTCGTTTCAAACTTGTTACTCGGAGGTTTTTGGGCTCGCTGAATATGAATCCGATGTCATTTTTACAAAATTCAAAATGGCAAAGCCAATATAGCCGACAATTTTTTAAAAAACATTGATTTTTTAAAAAATTGACAGCTATATTGGCTCTGTTATTTTGAGTTTTAAAAACTGACGTCGGATTCGTATTCAGCGAGTTCAAAAACCACTAAGTAATAAGTTTTAACATAATAGAATCAATTTTTTAATTTTTTCCTCCATATTTGATCCGCCATTTTAAATTTTCGAAAACTGTCCATATATTTTCATTTTGTAATACTGTAGCATTACTGGAGCTTAATTTAGAGATAATTTGAACATTTTTTGCTACATTTATATGTATAATTATGAATTTTTAATTTTTCCACGATAAAATGTATCATATTATTTTGGCCGGCATATTAAATTTTTGAAAAGGCTTTTTTAAAGGAATTTTTTAAATGAAAAAGTACATCAAGGCGAAAATTTTGAGACCTTAAACGCCACAATCGACCTTATATAATTATGTATACAGAGCACTAATTCGCTTGATGTGGAACGTCCCAACTTTTCTTTTACAAATAATGCAATTGTCAAATAATATTTAAGTGAATCATATAGATATAGTAAAAATTCTAAGATAGTATACAGATTCATGAAAAATCGGATGCAGTCTATTTTACAAACGTGCTTGGCTTGAAAAATTTGTTAATTTGAAAATGAAAAACTGAGCAAGTGTGACAATGAACGTGGGAAAAAAAGTAAAGCCTATTAATCGCGTACATCTATAATAAACGCTTTCAGACAGAAGTGTATAGGAATAATATAAATTGTTCTGGATAGAAAGCCAGAAACGGAAATTAAGAAAAGTACTTTAATGCCTTACTCTTCTGCCTAGTTTACGTTCGATTTTCTTTTTTTTTCTAAAGCATTTGAGTTTCCTTAACCAATTTTCCGGCATAATAAAAAGATTAAAATTGACAATAAATTATATATATTGATTTAAAATTAAGAGGAAATTGGTTAAAAGAATGGGAGCGCTTTAGAAAGATTGATTGCTCCGAAAATGTGTGAATTAAAATGAGGCGTTTGGTAAAAATCTAACATGAAGTGCAGGATAATTAAGTGATTTCGATGGGCAGTCGAGAGACCCACCTTCGGTTTACAAGATTGTCTCTGTAAGGATCGCGTGGCTGACGTTTCATAATGTCCGACTCCGGTGCCTCGTAAGCCAGCGAGATGGCTGGTACCTATACCATCCATCGTCAAATTAGAAAGCATTTAAGAGAACCCTTTTTGCATTGGCAAGTAAGATGGATCATTACAATAATAAGAATAAGAATAGTGTTCATAATAATAATTATAATTATAATAGTTATTAAATATTAAATGCATTAGAAGAAAAAAAAGGCCAGAAGCAGACTCAAAGAAGGAATTAACTCAGGATCCATATGTACTTCCATAAAACCTGCTGAATAAAAGAGTTTTTTTCAGTCAGAACCTGACTTTCAAATACCACATTGCAGAAAAGATTTTCATTTTATTGTCATAAATTAAAATCTAGTTCTACTATATTAAAATTGAAAATTATTCCTATTTTGCGAGTCGCGAATTATTTATGTTTAAATTAGAAGTCATTTTTTTATCGAAAACAATTTTAAAAAACAAAAAAGTATTTAATTTTCAATATGTGACGCTCTACGATAAAAGGAACCTTAGAGGCAACAAATTTTAGGATACGTTACTTAAGCTCCCTTTTCTCGTAGAGAGTCTCAAATAGCTTTAATTTGAAAAGTAATCTTCTCATATAATAATTGTTGGAAATTTTGATAAAGTGGTATTTTTCTGATAATCAAGAACTGGTCAATAGAGAAGACAAAGAAAGTTATCGATGTCATTCTAAAGCAATTAATCAGTGATGAGATATCGTTTTTTTCTCTTCTACTTGTAATTCTATTATGACAGAATAATTATTATTATTTATAAAATGTTTCTTTTTTTCAGAAAATTGTGAAACATCAATGTCTCATCACTAATAATCGTGTGGAAAAGTTGATTGAAAATGAAAAATTCTGGTTCTTGGTGAATTAAAAATGATAATAGTGCTTTCCTTTTCCACGCGATGAAGGCGAGGCATAAAAGTTGAAAAAGGTGTTACAGAATCCCTAAAATTTCCATCACCAAATAGAAGATAGCATCAGTGTGTCGTTAAGTGATGTCAATTGCGCATAAAAATTCTTATTAGATCTTTCCACCTCTAATTATTTCGCAACCGTCATCATATTAAAAACACAGCGTCAGTAGGCGGCATATTATAGAATAAAACGCGAGAAAACTGAAAAGAAAAAATTGCAACTTGGTGGTAGCGAGTTAGATCGTATAAATAGTGACAATTTTAAGTATCAGATAATAAGTAATAGGAGCATACGTTGCAACTGCATTAATTGTTAACATATATGTGGGCGTACGCATGAAAATGGACAACTTTGTCGTGTTTATGACGGTAAATATTTTATAAAAATTCTTGATTATCGTCACGTACAATAAAAGCATTAACTTGTCGGTTTTAATTTCCAAGATAATTCCAATTTTTCAACTTGGGAGAAAAATTTCTACTTTTTTTATTTAAAAATAATCTTTAAAAATAATATAAAGTAACTTTTACTACTTACAAAATAATATTTAATCTGTCCGAAACTTCTGCGCAACTTTTGCTTTGGAAATAGAAAAAATTACTCCTAAAATATTGTTTTTAGTTTTTACTATTTCCGGAGCAAAATCTGCCAGAAATAAGCAGAAAATTTGAATCCTGGAAGTAGTAAGAATTATTTTATTTTTGTTTTCCATTTTTCTCCGTATAAGTATTTAATTACATTGTTTTTTTAAAAAAGAGAAAACGATCCACTTAGTCCGTTCATGGCAAAACTTATGAAATTTCTATTTTTTTCGTCAGTTTATGGCAATAAATAGAGTCCTGTTTTGGAGGCAAATACATTATAACAGTTTTCATAATAAAGACGAAAAGGTACAAATTTGTCCAATTTTGTTAAATTTTCTTTATTATTCCTAAATGGGAAATCAATTAAATATAAGAGACACATGAATATATTTGTCAGAATTTTTATTTGTTATAATTTTCATTTAAATGAATTTCTATAAAGCAGAATTTTTACTTAACTGAAAATTTATTTAACAGAATTTTTATTTGATATGAATTTTTATTTGACAGAACTTTCATTTCGTTCGAAATTTCGAATAAACATTCGGCAGAAACATTTCGGCGTGAATTTTAAAATTAACCAATCAAAATTTGTTGGGTAATTTTTAAATTCAAACTCAAAAGTTTCTGACGAAAGTTAACTTGAACATAATGAATTTTTCGAATTTTCAGCCATTTTAATGAATTTTTATTACATAGTATTTCAATTTTCAAAATTGCATAGAATATTCTTTCAGATGAATTTTCATTTGTTCGAATTATTATTTGATAGAATTTCCATATAACCGATTTTTCATACTAAAAAATTTATACTTAAACGAAAAATCATTTAACAGAATTTCTAATTGATAGAATTTTCATTTGTCCGAAATTGCAAATGGCCGAACAAACATGCGACAGAAAGATTTCGCCGCGATTTTTAAAATCAACCAATCAAAAATTAACCATAAAATTGTGATTGGTTGATTTTAAAAATCGCGCCGAAATCTTTCTGTCGATTGTTTGTTAGGCCATTTCCAATTTCGGACAAATAAAAATTCTATCAAACAGAAATTCTGTTAAATGATGTTTCAGTTAATAAGTGTAGATTCTGTAGGATGAAAAATCGGTTATATGGAAATTCTATCAAATAATAATACAAATGAAAAATTAATCTAAAAGAATATTCTACGAAATGAAATTCTATACGTAATAAAAATTCATTAAAATGGCTATTATTTTAAATGAAAATTCGAGGATATAAAAATTCGAACAAATAAAAATTCTGTAAATATTCGGTTATATAAAAATTCTATAATTTAGAAAATCGTTTTAATGAAAATTTTGCAAATTAATAATTCCGGAACAAATAACCCTCACAACACAAGGATATTCAGGATATCCCTGGGACGTCCTGGGGATATCCATTTGCTTTTGGCGATTCGGATATCCCTACGATATCCTCTGGATATCCATGGACATCTCTAAGATATCCCAGGGATATCCAAACCGCCGAAAACAAATCGATATCCCCAGGACGTCCCAAGGATATCCTGAATATCCTTTTGTTGTGAGGGAATATTCGGCTCAATGAAAATTATATCCAATGAAATTCTATTAAATGAAAATTCGAAGAATTGATTTTTAAAACTTAATCATGCGTCCCAAATATTCGTATTTTAATTTTTGATTTATTTTTTCTCAAAAAAAGCTTTTCCGGCTTCACTCTAAAGTTCTGTATAATTCCGCAGTTTTTTCATCTAAAGGGTTCTAAAACCTCTCAAAATTTTTCAAATTTATTCTTAAATTTGCCCATATAGATAAATCAAATAGTACCAAAGTTGGCCCTTTTTATCCGGTTCCCACATGTATATATATTTATATAGTAAATAAAAAAAATAGTGATTGTTTAGTAACAATTGTTAATGATAAAAACGTTCTAGAATCAATTTTTCTAAGAATATATAAAATAGGCAATAATTATAATATAATTATTATCTATAAAAATATTGGATTTAAGAACGTTCTTCATTTCTAATTAATTAAATACAAATTGTATCGATTGTATATCACTATAGTTTACTAAATTCTAACTCTATTCTTCTAGAGGGTAATTGTGACGCTCTGTCAATTAATTTCATTATTTTTTTTATAATAAACCGGTGTATCTTTTTCTACATCTACGCACAACAAAATACTTGAAATAGAAATTTAAAAAAAAAACTACCCAATCTATTGTGTCATTACATTTATAATTCACAACATTGACGACGACCGGTCCCACCGAACCTGAAAAATTTTCATATGTTTTTTTTTTTTTTTTTTGCTATAATAGCCTCAGTGGTAACAAATAAATAATCAGGGCGGTAGAGACGTGTCGCTTGTAGAAAAAAGCTTCCCGTTTATGAATGAGGAGATACAACGATGACAAAGTTGGCAGGCGGCAGAGGCAATCAGGTCTAGTGGAGAAAGATCACATTTCAAGAGAAAAGGTGAAAAAAATTAGAAAAACAAAAATAGGCAACGAAAGAAATTAAAAGACAGTCTGATGAAGAATTCATGAACTTTTAAAATATAAATTATATATATATATATAATATACCTAATATAAAAAAAGCATTAAAATAGTAGTCTATTAAAGTTACTACAGCTATAGAATTAATTAATTACAGTTTACAATATTTTCTCATCTAACAACATTTAACGAGTGGTTTTTCTATTTATCAACAATATTTAAGTAAATTGTTTTTAATTTTTATATTCTTGAATTAAAGAATGGTTTTATATAGAAAACCATTTTTTTTAATAATTATTTTCGGAGATTTTATATCTTGTATTTTCATTATAATATCAACTTTTCGTAATTATACGGTTTCCAAAAGCTGTAATAAATATTATTTTAATTTAATTAATTAAATGTTAAATTTAATAATTAATTAAACTGGAAATAATGTTAATTGAGTCAAAATAAGTCTGTTTTACTTCAATCTTAGGTTGAATTTTGAGGAAGTTTGCAGCAAACTTATGACGAGTACATCTTGACTTGGAGGATAATTATAATTACATACATAATTTTCAGTAAAAAATAAAAAATTATAAATAACCATTTCGAGAAAATAGATGAAAAACTATGTGTCAACAATAGAAAATTTAGAATAAGATAGACTTAAAAATTTGCTGCAAATCTTCTGCACAGACTGAATTTTAGCCGAAAATTTAATATCAGGCCTCGGATCGACTTTAAGGCATACAAAAAGTCGTTTTAGTTGATTTCATTTATTTTAATAAAATTTAATTGGGTAATGAATATTTTACTTTAAATAACTAGTGTTATTAGATATTAAATTCATTTCATTAATTCTGTAATGAGAATAATTCTACAAAAATATTATCAAGAAAATTTATTTCGAATATTTTAGAATCGAACTAATTATAAAACAAATTGAATTTCAAAAGATTTTGTTAGTTTTTAGACAATAATTAAATTTCATAAACTACAAATAATTTATCAAATAATTTTAGATAATATTTTTTTAAAAGTAATTGAATTTTCAAAGATTTGCAGTTTAGATTTTTGAAATTAATTGAACTTTAAACGATTTTTAATTAAAAATTTTTTATGATTTTACTAAAAAATTTATTAGAAATTTCAGAAAAAATACAATAATTTGAAAAATTTTTAAGCGAAAAATGGTTTCAGATAGTTGAATTTATGAAGAATATTATAAAAATTATTAAAAATAATTAAATTTCAGGAGAATTATAATTGAAAATATTAATTTTCAAAAAATTTTAGATGAAAAATTTAAAAAAAAATTAAATTTTAGAAGCTTTTAAATTGAAATTTTTGAAAATAATTGAATTTCAAAAGATTGTGTTAAATTTCAGACAATAATTATAATAAGAGAAATTTTTAGTGATTTTTGTTGATGAAAAATTTATTAGAAATCACATACAAAAATAATTGAAATTTTCGCAAATAATTAAATTTCAGGTGATTTTGAATTAAAAATTTTTGGTAATTTTATTTGCTAATTTTTTTTTAAATTATAAACAATTATTAAATTTCATAAAAATTTTAATTGAAAAATAGTTTAAGATAATTGAATTTGTGAAGAATTTCATTAAAATTATTAAAAATAATTAACTTAGTAAAGAATTTTAGTAAAAAATTAGTTAAATAATTTAAATAAAGAAGATCTGAAGAAGATCTGCATTGTATACTAAAAAAATATATTTTGTTTAAAAAATTTGTTTAAAAATGTAAAAAAAAGTCGTATTTTTGAAAAAAAGTCGGAAAAATTCGTATAATCCGAGGCCTGTAATATCGATGTCTATTTGCTAACAAAAAGTAAAATAAAAAATAGAAAACTATTTACTGTAACTTTTACAAAATTGAATGTAAAATATAAAATTTAATCTTTTATACCTGTTACTTTTACTTCCAATTATATAATTTTCAAATTATAGTTATAATCTCGGATTAAACATAAAAGTAGTTATTTAATAATGTGTTGGAAAAAGTAATCGTCAAAAAAGGGGAAACAAAAATAATTTTTTTTTATCTATTTAAATTTTAGAATTAATTACGAAGAATATTTATAATTTTTAAGATTTTTTTTTAAGAATCATTTATTATGAAATATGACGCACAAAATGCAACGTCCATTTAGTTTGCAAATATTTTTTACTGACAGTGGAAAGTATTTTGAAAAGCATTCCAAAATTGAAAGTGCTTTAGAATAAGTGTAAAATTGAAGCAGCTTGGCAATTAGAAAGACAGAGAGAAAGAGAAAGAGAGAGATTTTAATTGGAAAAAAACTAGAATTTGAAAAATTTTTTAAATTATATATTGTAGAAAAAAAAGTGAATGTAAGGCTGAGGCAATAAATATTTTTCAGTTCAGAACATAATGCAAAGAGACAAAGGTCAATTATGGTAGAAAAAAAAGTAGTCGTGCGATGCATCTAGCCTTTGTCTTTTAATACTTTGCTAGGTCTTTCGCTGCTTGATGAAAAAAAGGTGCGATATTAAAAAAAATTATTTTAATTGGACTTTTTTTGAAATTATTTTTTTCGGACGTCATAATGTAAGGTACCCATGCTGGGCACAAAAAAGTATAGAAGAAAATCTTAGGAAAGCAGAGTTCCGAAAAAATATTATTAATATTAGAAACAGCTTACCTTGACTATAATAATATGACCCTAATCGATGGATTATTCGGTCAGTGGAAAAAGTTTCAAGTGCGATTAAAGAAAAATTAAATCAAACAAGTTAATCATTTCCTCTCGTGTAAAAAATAATTCTTTTCTCAAAAAAAAGAGACTTTCTTTTCGAAATAAAAAATTTACTGCTCATAAATTTTGCAATCAATATTTAAAGAAACATTTTTAACGAGAAGAATCGATTATAAGATAGAAAAATTTAAGTTTGAAAGTTAGAAGCGTATTGATTGTATCGCTTCATTTAATAAAGTTTTTCTTTTTCATAAATAACCCTAATATATGTATCACCTTTAAAATAAACTTCCTAAAAATAGTTTTCATTGAATTCTTAAACTATTTTGTTAATGGAAATAGTTTATGAATGAATCTATTTTAAATATTATTCAAGAAAGGAAGAATCTAAAAGTAAATGTTTCGCATTGATCGTCGCCAGAATTGTCGATTAGAGGCATTTGTCATAGAGTTCTTGTGGAAAAAGTTAAATAGAATGTTAAAAATATATACGAGACTGAAAATGACAATTATTTTTCATTAATTAATAATTCAACTTTTTTTTCCATTAAATAATTATATTAAATTCTTTCTAAAATATGGTTTCGACATATTTTTTCATAGGTTTAATGAAACAAATTAATTTTCACCTTCGAGAAATTAGAAACAAAGTTTTCATCTTCTTTTCTCTTTTTTTTTTAATTAGAAACAAATAATTCTTTAAAAAAAAAAAATTGTTCCCTTCAAAATAAAATGGAAAAGTAAAATTTATTTTTCATTTTTATTTTCGATGGTGAAAAATTAATTTTCTATTAAAACTAATAATTTATGAGAACCATATTTAATAAAATATTATTTATTCGTTTTAAAAGAATTCGGAATAGCATTAATTTTTCCTTATATGAAAATGTACATTTCAACAAGATTTGTGTGTTTTCAATTCGCAATGTCAGTTTCAGTCTCTTCAGATTAAAAATAACTACCAGAATAACCAATAATTAAAAGAATTGTGTAAGGCTTATCAAAAAAAATGTCGTTTCCATTTAAAAAATGAATAGTTGAATATTTGGAATTTAAAAATGTTACAACGACTCTTTTTTTTGATTGAGAACCTTGTTGAAATGTAGTATTTTGCGATATGTTGTTGATATGTTTTACCTTTCGTTAACTAGCTTGTCAGTGAAGGGGTTTCGTGGCTGTCGCTTCATAATATCGCTCTCTGCCTCCTCGTAGGCTAGTGAGATGGCGGGTACCTGATGTCATATTTATTAAGAAGCTCAATGAAAATGTTAAAACACATTATAATCAAATCGATATTTCAATCTTGTTGCGAGATTTTCGATTTTAAGTAGAAAAACAAAAACTCCTATATCTGATCTTAATATTGTTAGATTATTTATTTTGCAATGATTCTTTGTGATTATTAATTTATTTACCGGCAAAAATTAAAAGAATTCAAAATTTACGATTCATTAAAACTTAAATTAACTACTTTTCATAAAAGTAATTAAAATTATTATCTTTTGAAAAAAAATTGCTTCTGAAAAATGTTTTTATTGAAACAAACTTATTTTTGTATCAAAAGAAGCAAGATGCTTTTTAAAGCGTTTTTTTTTAAATGGAAATAGTTTTCAACATTCGAAGAAGAAAGAAAGAATCATTATAGAATAGATAGTCTTACAATTTTTGAGTAGTTCGCGTAAATATTTAAAGAATTTTTTATCACAAATTTCAAATTAATCATGAATAATAAATAATAAGCAACTTAAAAAAACAGGGAAAATGTGTTTGAGGAATGAAAAGAGGGATCTTGTTGGGAAAGAAGGTATTTGGGAGCCTCTCGATTTTCGTTAGTTTCTGAAAATTAATCTGAAAAAAAGAAAAATTTAATTAATCGTTCTTGATCGAGAAGAATTCCTTGTGATTCCTTTTGTGCAGAATATCTATAAAGTGGAAATAAAATTTCAATGAAGATTATATTTAGACAAAGTGGTAGCTACTTTATAGCGATACTGCTAATACAAGAGCTTCTTCTGGCGAAAAGCTAGAGAAAATTCATGAAATCAAAGGGAGACGCAAAATGATTAAAATGAAATAGGGAGAAATCTAGTTATCTAGCTATTTTGTCAATAAACCTTTCGTTGACGAGATTATCCATGTATGGATTTCGTGGCCTTCTCTTCATAATATCTGACTCTGCTTGTTCATAGGCCAACGAAATGGCCGGTACCTGACAATCAGCGAAATTTCGATAACAATAATACCGTTTTTTTTTCATTTCTATTTTGATTTTAAATATTTGTTTGACATAAATATGAAATGAATTTGGTAGAACCTGTTAAAGAACTGTATGAATACAAGATCCCTGTTTCAATAGTTGACTCAATTTAAATAAATTATCGAGGTAAATGTGAACAGCACTTACCATATCAGTTCCCAAATCGATGCAAAGAATCGTAACAGTACCAAGTGGCAAGGGAATGTCGCAAAGAATGAAAGCCAAGAAAGGTGATATTTCAGGAATGTTGGAAGTTAGAGTGTAGGCGATGGATTTTTTCAAATTATCGAAAATCAATCGACCCTCTTCGACTCCCGTGACAATTGAAGCAAAATTATCATCCAACAAAATCATGTCCGCAGCTTGTTTTGAGACGTCAGAACCGGCAATGCCCATGGCAACTCCAATATCCGCTTTCTTCAAGGCAGGCGAGTCATTCACACCATCACCTGAGAAGGATAATTAGTTTCAATAATTGATAGAGAAAAATGTAAAAAGAATGAAGGAAACTCACCTGTCACTGCCACAATGGCGCCCATTCTTTGACAGCCTTCGACTATTATAAGCTTCTGCTGAGGCGAAGTACGAGCGAACACTATTTCGGTGTGATACCTAAGGATTTCGTCCAGCTGATCGGAGTTCAAATCCCTGAGTTCAGTTCCGTGAACCACTGCTGCTTTGGCTTCGCGGGGGTTCACTTCGGACACGGGAATGTTCAGCCGCTGAGCAATATCCTCAATTGTTTCATTACCTAATTGAGAAATGAAAATTTAATTTTCCGTTAAGAATTTCAACTTCGATAAGTACATACCTTCGGAGATAATTCCGACGGATTTGGCAATGGCTTTGGCAGTGATTGGATGATCACCAGTAACCATGATGACCTTGATACCAGCGGAACGGCATTTTCCGACCGCATCTGGTACCGCAGCTCTGGGCGGATCAATCATTGACATAAGACCCACAAATCGTAGTCCAATAGTAGGGAAGTTGGGATCGTCAGAGTTGAATTTAAAGCCAAGTGGGAATTTATCAGATGGCAAAACGAAGTCACAAAAACCAAGGACACGCTCTCCAAGTCCACCGAGCTCGAGATAGGCATTATTGAATGCCTCCTTCATTTCTTCATCGAGAACCTTTTCCTTTCCGCTGATAAAGATTGTTGAACAACGATCCAAAATTCTCTCCGGAGCACCTTTCATAACCAACAAATGACGAGGATCATTAGGATCATCCGGCTCGTGAATCGACACTTGGTACTTGTTTGTCGAGTTGAAGGGTACTTCGCAGACTTTCTTGTTTCGCTTACGTATTCCCATCACATCACCAAGGGCGAGTTCCATACATTTGAGAAGAGCAGCCTCAGAGGCATCTCCATTGACGTCGCGTTTAAGAATTGGTACTCCATCCTGACCGGGTTTAAACTCTGCTCGATTACAAAGCGTGGCGATCTTAGATAAAGCTTTGAATCCGGGACTAGTCCTGTCATACTGAACTCCAGATTGATCCTCAGTCGTGTCGGCCTCAATGATTTGGTTGTCGAACCACATGTGAGCAACGGTCATTCTGTTTTGTGTAAGAGTTCCGGTTTTGTCTGAGCAGATGGTCGACGTCGAGCCCAAAGTTTCGACGGCTTCTAGATTTTTAACGAGACAATTCTTTGATGCCATTCTCTTGGCAGTGAGGGTGAGGCATACCGTGACAGTCGCCAATAGACCCTCGGGCACGTTAGCTACGATAATACCAATGAGGAAGATGACAGCATCAAGCCAATGGTAACCCAAAATAAAGGCAATGACGAAGAAGGTGACACCGAGAAATACGGCCACACCGGTAATTAAGTGGATAAAGTGGTGGATTTCCTTGGCGATTGGTGTCTCACCAGTGTCGAGACCTGATGCCAAACCGGCAATCCTTCCCATTACTGTTTGATCTCCACAACAGATTACAATACCTTTTGCAGTACCTTCAACAGCGTTTGTCGAGAAGAACGCCAAGTTCTTCGTTTCCAAAGGATTCTCGTTCGTGAATTCCGGCGATCTCGATTGAGGCTCGGATTCTCCTGTTAACGAGCTATTGTCTACCTGCAATCAGAAAAAATTAAATAATTCTTTTTCTCTATAGCAAAAACAAACTTGAATGTAATAAAACATAAAAATTCTTTTTGTCCGTACCTTGAATCCTCGAGATTCGATGATCCTAATATCGGCAGGGATTCTGTCTCCAAATTTGACGTCAACAACGTCTCCCAAAACAATTTCCTCAGCCCTTAGAGTGAGCTTCTCACCTTCTCTGATAACCGTGGCAAATTGGGGAACCATGTTTTTAAATGACTCCATAATTTTACTGGATTTACTCTCCTGATAATACGAGAAAATACCCGTAACTATCACGACAGCTGCAAGGACGATACCCAAATACAAGTTGTCGTCGTTAGGGTCTTCGCTTGTCGAAGCCTGGATTGAATAAGCGATAAAACAGAGGATGGCACCGATCCATAAGAGCAGGGCAAAACCTCCAAAGAGATTCTTGCAGAATTTGACCCATTCGGGTGTCTGCTTAGGTGGCGTGAGGGCATTCGGACCGTCTCTTTCCAAATTCTCCTTCGCTTTTGCATGGCTAAGGCCCTATAAATATTTATTTCAAAAATCATTTTTTCATTTATTAAACATCAGATGAATTTAATATTCAATACATCTATTTTATAGGACATTTGTATCATTTCACTGCATATCTCTGTAAGAACTTATAAACTCCTTTTGTTAAAATTAAAATATTTCAAAATCGAACAACTGAATGAAAATTTTGTTGTAATTATTAATTAAAATTCGTAATTTATAAAGTTCTATACAGCATAATAATTATTTATTTTAATTTCCCATGAATCTAATCTTGATTTGAAATTATTATACTTTCTATGTAATTGTAAAATTGTTCTCGAATCGAGAACTTTTTTTTAACAAACTTGGCCTATATCAGATGAACCTAATTCGAGTACGCTGAAGTTAACAGCGTTAGCCGTTTTTCAAAGTTAGGTAAAATTTTCAAAATATTTGCCATTTTAATTTTTTCATTTTAAAGAATTTTATTATAGAAATAATTTTTTTTTCAACGAATTTTGTTTTTTCGAATTAGCATTTGACAGAATTTATGTTTATACGAATTTTTACTTAATAAAATTTTTAGCCAAAGAATTTTTATTTGTGCAGAATTTTTATTTTATTTAAGAAAATTGTTAGCTAAAGAATTTTTGTTTGGCAGAATTTTTATTTTACAATAATTTTCTTCACATGACTTTTTATTTAAAAGAATTTTAATTTAAGCGAATTTTAATTTAACAAAATTCTCATTAAATCGAATTTTTAAATGACAGAAATCATTTCGTCGATTGTTTGTTCGGCCATTTGTAATTTCGGAGAAATGAAAATTCGGAAAAATTAAAAATCGGTGAATTTGGAATTTCTGTTATTTAAAAATTCGAATCACATAAAATTCGATTGTATGAGAATTCTGTTACATTAAAATGCACTTAAATTAAAATTCTTTTAAATAAAAAGTCATGTTTAGAGAAATTCAAAATGGCGGACGAAAAATTTTTAAATTCATCGGATTTGATTGAAACTTATTATTTAGAGGTTTTTGGAGTCGCTGATTACGAATTTAATAAGTTTTTAAAAATTCAAAATGGCGGATCCAATATGGCAGAAATTTAAGAAGAAAAATTGATTAGATTCGCTAAAAACTTGTTACTTTGAGGTCTTTGAAGTCACCAATTACTAATTAAATATCAAAATTGTAATCAGCGACCCCAAAAATCTCCAAATAATGGTTTTCAAGTGAATCCAATGCTCTTTGATTAAGTACAGTATTTTTTTTTTTGTAATGGATCAAAAAAAATGAAAAATGATGTATATTTTGAAAATTTGATCTAAGTTTGAAAATTGGCTAATGCTAATAAATATTTTATTATCAAATAAATATTTATTTGTATCAAATATTTTTTTTGTTTACTGTCATTTTTGAATAAATTGAAACAAATTATTCGATTTTTAAAATAAATATTTCTAATTGAACAAACGTAGTTTATAAGCCTTTACATAGCACCTGTGTTCAAGAGATAGAGAAATATAATTTTTATCATATACTGGCATTTTTTTGTATTCAAAATCATGATTTTTCATTAAATTAATTTGATAAGTGTTGAAATAAATTTACAGCTTTACTTACGTTTTCGGGGTGCGACTGAAATCTCTGATATAACTCTTCGGGGGAAATTTTGTGAAAGTCGATATCCAACTCTTGTTTGAGTTCATCCAGGTTATCCCCCCTTTTCTTTGGGGTCTTCCGCCGCGACTATGAACAGAAGATAAAAAAATAAACAAAACGAAATAATTGAATTAGAAAAAAGTGAGGTTAGAATTATAGGGTTGTATAAAATACATTTAAATTTCGTACTATTTGTACATTTGTATTTTATAATTGTCCTTAATCGATTATTTTTTTAAATGTTGTATTTTCATTTCGTGGAATAAATAGTAACTCATTTGAGAAGGGACAATGCAATTTTTATTAAAAATATTTATTTATTTTAAAAAGGATTTCTAACCTTCCCTGATGTTAGCAATACACATTAAAAAAACAAATTTTCAATATTTTCTTCAAATAACTTGCCGTAAACTTTATGGAAAACATTCTGCTAGGTAGGAACTTTAAAAACAAAATTCCAAGTATGAAGAAATATTTCTGAACCTTTTTTATATTGGGTTTTGTCTTATTAATACAGTTTGTAATTCTTTTTTGTTTTTTTTTTTTATTAAAAATAGAAAATCAATAATGTAAGCTGTATAATCTGCTTTTAAAAACAAGCGTGAATTGTTTTTAAATTCTTAAGAAGTTAGTCAGCAGTAGTGTCCAATGATCGTGGTTCTTCAATATTAACGAGTTGCCCTTATTAACCCTTTAATTAGAACGAGTCAAACGAATCGCGTCTTTTCTGTTTTCATCTCCAGTCTTACGATTGACCGCTCGGTATAGTCAAGTCTCCAACTGTCGTTATCACATTTTGTGACGGATAACATTTTAAAATTCTTTTTCGAATGTGGCAATAATTTCATTTCACGAAAAGTGAGTCATCTGCATAAATTGCATAAAATTTACATGGAAAAATATAAAATTTCAATTCTTAGAAAACAAAACAAAAATCGAAGAACGTTTTTTTTTAAGTAGGAAAAAGATCCACTGTGAAAAACAATTTTTTCTAAACTGAAATATATTTTTTACAAAAATTATTATAATTTTCTTATTTTGAACAGTGTTTTATCATTTTTAAAAGAAAAAAGTGTTGGGAAGCTTTTTGAAAGAGAAAACCAATCCTGCAATGTTGGAATAGAAAAATTTGAAGAAGTAAGTTGAAATTATTGAATTTTCACGAATTTGATGAATCTAATGATATTTCCTGCATGTTGAGTAAATCGTGAAAGTTCCTTTAAATTAATTTATATACTTCACGAAATAACACAACTTTTCAACGAAATAACAATAAATTGGAACAAAAAAATTGAATAGTAATTACTAAAACATAATAAGGAATGAATTAGTCGATTTTCTTTTATTTATAGAAAATAGCAGTCTGTTGAGTTGCCTTATGAAGTTTCACAACTTCTATAGATAGAAGAACATGTAAATTTTAAGAATCAAATCACCGAAAAGTGGATTAGAAAATAAAATATAGTTAATTAATTTTACGAATAAAACTTAAAAATTAACCTTACAACAACCATAAAGTATAATTCATGCATTTGTTAATTAATTAGTTATGTTGAGAATTGTTGAGAGTTCGAAAAGACGAAAATATTTCCCATTAATCAAGATGACGTTGAACTTTTCCAAAGCAAAAAAAGATCGCAGCAGAGTCACATATAAGCAAAAGATCTCACATCAGAGAGAACACATTTTAGTTTCTCGATTTTTTCAAAAAGAGAAAATAAGAGAAGGCAATATACAGAGAGAAAAATTGACAGAGATAAAAAGAGAGAGAGAGAGAAAGAGAGAAAAGAACAAAGCCCATCACCAGTAGAAAAGCGAAAACCTTAATCCTTGACGGATTTTAGCCTCGTACAAATTATACCTTGTACATTCCATCTGCACTTTTGTTGTCATCGCGAATGTTTGGTAAAGTGGCGACCCTGTATGAATCTGAGCGGCCATGCTGAAAAAAGTGTATAAAAATAATTATAAATAAAATAAAAAATATATGAGATAAAACATAAGATACATAAATTATAATGGCCGATACATAAAGTAACAAGGGGAAGGGAGACAAAGCTTATTCACCCTTAAGGGCGTTTGACCTACTTATACAACCATAAACTAAGAAATGACTCATAAAATACATTTTTTTACCTTAGGAAACTCATGTTTAAGAAACAAAGTAATTTAACTTTTAAATATTGTCTGAAAACTTTTTCAAACATTTAATTTAATAAAACCATAATTTTTCGAGAACTCAAACCATTATAACTCTTCTGGATGTACATAATAATTTTCTGCGAAACTTAATTTAAGAATGTTTTTCCATATTTTAAAAACTATTTTTCCCTATTTTCAAAGCCCTTTAGAATCAATCCAAAAAATAGAAATCTTAGCGTTAATTTTCATTAATAAAAAAAATCTTTGTTTACGTACCATACAGATTGCTTTTCTTTGATTCAAAAAAATTTTTTTTTTAAGAGAATAATTACAGAGTATGATGGGTCATCGTCAGGTGAGAATGAGAACCCCTGACAAAATTAGATATAATTCAGAGAAAATATAGCTGAAGCGCACTTATTTTGACACACCCTTGTAAAGTTTACTCTAGGGGTTGGGACCCTCCAGTTCCTTTTTAACATACACTACCTTTTACTATAATTACGAAAATTACATATTATTATCCAGGCAGAGCTCAAATAAATTTTTCTTGAAACTAACCCTTAATTTAAAAAAAAAAAAATGTCATAATTTGAATAATAAAAATACATTGTTTTTAATTTGGAAAAAAAATATAAATTTAAAAAAAAGTAGTGAAATGTAATTAAATTACATATATTATTAGAAAGAATTTAAAAATTAAAAAAGATAATTTAAAATTTGTATTGGAAAAAGTTTAATATTGATGAAAATTTAATTTTTCGAAAGAAAAAATAATTCAAACCCTTTTAATGTGTTTTTAATGAATATCTGACTTATTTTTAGAATTATGTATTCTGAAATGGTTTACTTGTCAGTCGTAACACAATACGTATAGCTTATAGCAGGTTTTCCCTAGAATATATCGATTTTACTGAAAGGTAAAATTAACCTAAAGGTGGAACAACCCGTTCTCAAAATATAAAAAGTCTCGTTTTAGAGACAGTCTATACACTTTTAATTCGCAAGGTTACAATAGTAACAGACTGAGAGTCATCATTTTTTAAAACACTTAATTTTAATTCTTCGATTGTCTTCTTCATTTTAATTTTCTTATATTAAATCAAATTTTCACCTCTCTTAAATAAAAATAAATCTCAAATTTATTCCGAATAATTGTTAATTGTTACCTAATAATTAATAAAAAATGTTATTCATAAAAAATATTTTTCGCAAATTGTGGGACAAATGATTAAAATTGATCTAAAATTGAAGCAAAAGAAAATAGTAATACAAATATGATATACCTATGTAAATATAGATACATTTGAGCTCATTGTTCTTTTACGGAAGACTGAACTATAGTTCAGTCTTGGAAAGTAACAATTGAGATTGTGTCTATGAGCGAATAATTAATCTCGTGGGAGCGATGACATAAGTATAAGTGCGCCCTTGGGCCATTAACCTTAGATATTAACTCACGATTTGAAAAAAAAAATCATACAAAATCAAACTTTTTTTCTTGTAATTCATAAACTGTTAAATTTAATTATATTCCTTATCCTTGGGAATCAAGTTTTACCATTTTTTTTTCTTGCTTGTGTTCATAATACATTTTTAATGACTACTCACAAAACGAATTCAATTAGTAAACACGAGACATGAAAGCACGTGATAACACAAATTACAGATAATTATCTTGATTTAACAAGAATATAAACGAATTATTAGTTTAATTAAGTTCTTCTGATTTTTTCAAAAATAAATTTTTTAATTCACGAATAATAATTTTTTTTGTATTTTTTATTTATATGTTTGCTTAAAATTTGAAATTTTTATAATCAATAAAAATATGTTGAATTAAACATTTTCTCTCAATCATAAAATACAGACAGTAAAATTAAATAATAACATACCATTGAACCATTATCTTTCATTACTCTATTTTATATGTTGAACTGATATCGGGCATAAAATTTACATATTTCAATTGGATTTTAAAATCCTTTACGGCGAAAGAATATTTTAGAAATATCAAAATGTTCCAAATTATTTCTCACTTTTTCTGATTTCAAAAATAATACAACTTTTTCACATCTTTCATTTAAGTTATCTTCACGGTACATTTTGCAACTCACGCATTCAGTCTAACATAATATATTTATATTAAAAATTTTAAGAAGGGAACCGATAAAATTGTAATTCACTGAAATTACGGTGTTTAATGCCAATTTATTTACTGTCAATTTAAAAAATTTGAAATAATGTCTTAAAGATTACAGAAAATAGCATTTCTTCAGTGTATTACTGTTACTAACAAATTATTTCAAAGATGGAATTAAAAATGCCAAAATTTCTTAATTTTTGCATGCGTCACTTTTGCTCCACACGAGAAAAAAGTAGTTCATGAGAAAGTTAGAAATTAGTTCCTAAATCCTAAGTATAACAAACAAAAAAGATTCTTTCTGTTTTTCTCTGACCATCAGTTTTCTTCAAGGTCACAAACATAAGTATTCTTTTGATATGTTTGTTTGCATTCGAACTACACTGTATACACTTCTCCCTACTTCACCTCTTTATTTTTTATATCCGCTGAAATAACATATATTAATTTTCAAGAAAACATATTTTTAACTTAAAAAAATTATTTATTTATACATTTTGAATAAGATTAAAATTTTCTTCATATGTCTTTCTTAAACATTTTTTTAATAAATATAAATCATTTACAAAAAAAAAGTTTAAGGGATATAAAGAAAACTTTCATCTTATATGTAAAATGTATAAAACGGAAAAAAAGGAATTGCTTACAGATGCTAACTAATGTTTGCTATTGGATCTATCAAAATTAGTAGCCACAGCTAAATTTTTTGCAAAATTTTAAATTTTTCAAAAAATCACTGTCACAGCAAAATTTTTGGATCTCACAGCAAATTTGTTAGCTGTTCCAATATATTAGCTAACGTAATTTGATGTGACAGTAAATAGTTCGCTGCCACAGCAAACTTTTTATATGTGTGCATGTTTATTTTCACCCTGTCAAGTTTCTATTTTTAACAAATTTTTTTAAATTCACTATATAGTTTTTTTCTTGCAAAATTATAACCGACGACAACCCAGTAAAAAAAAAAGAATTGGCCGTAAGCGAAAAGAATTGGTGGTGACTTAAGGCCTATGCGGTTTCGCGACAATACAGTATTGAATGGTTACGACCAATTCTTTTTTTTTACGGCCAATTCTTTTTACTTAAATTGTTTGAATTAATGTATATTGACCCGATTTGGCATTATAAACGAGAAAAGGGACTGTTTTAAAGTGTAAAAATGCTGATTACGTGCAGGAAATACGGAATTTTGTTAAAAAGTGAAAAAGTTAATTGTGACAGGCACGACAGGCACGGCCACTTGTTACCACTGGCTTGAGCATAAAAGAGAATGCACTGTTACCGACAAAAAGTTACTAGGACGAGCGGCAAATTCAAATAGTGAAATTAAATTCAAGAGAATATAAGAAATTTTAAAAAGTTTTTTATCATTAATCAAGGTATGTATATTATTTTAAATATTTAATTACTAAAATTTAATAATAAATATTAATTTTAAGAAAATGACAATACATTTCTTTTAGAATAATTAGATTCTTCATTATAAGAATTTATTGATATTTAATTTTATAAACTGTAAATAAAAGAAATTAAATTAAATTTCATTAAAAAAATACTAAAAGAAAATTCCTATTGTGTCACCAGTTTTTTGAAGCTGCATATTAATTTATCGAGTATAAACATTATAAATATTAAATTTTTTTAATATAAAAATATCAATGTGTCCAGTGAATTAAAAAATTTAAAGATGTTTGTAAATTATTTATAAATTATTATTTTTAAAATATTACAGTAATTTTTTAACAAAATAAATATAAACTTAAAATATCAGTCCATCAATCTCTTCCATATCTTCGTCCATACTTTCTCCCATATCTTCCTCCATATATTCTTCTTCTATTTCTTCTATTTCTTCTATTTCTTCATATTCAATCTCTTCAGTTATTTCGGCTTCGTCCAGAGGATTTTGTTCATCAAAATTTATTTCATTTTCTCCAGGTACATACTTCTCTACAATTGTTTCATCTTCTCCAGGCACATATTCAATTTCATCTTCTCCAGGCACATACTGATCTAAATTTTCAGTCGCATTGTCTTCGGGCATAGCTCCTAAAATAGTTTTCCTTTTCTTGTTTACTTTTCTCACTGTAAATAATAATAATAATTATGTCACAAAAGAAATAATATTTATAAAAGATCTAAGCGACAAAAAGTTATTTAAAAAAATTTTATATAATTTTAACTAGTTTAAATTTATATTTTATATTTATATAATTTTTACCTCTCTTTCTTGGAGGATTTTTTAAATCGCTGATTTGCTTTGAGATATACTTAAGAGTATTCCATGCCTCCATGTCGGCAGAATTTCTGCTCATAGACTTCTCTTTTTGCAAAGCAAAACTGTAAAAATCTGGAAACAAAATTATAGAATATTAATTTTTTGTATTGTAAATAAAGCATATAGGTGATTCCATGTTCACTTTTAAAATTCATGGATTTTAAAAGTGAAATTAAAAAATTATTTGCCTGCAGGTAAATAATTTTTTTTTGTTCCTTATTAAAAAAAAGGTGTAAGTATGTTTTCTTTTTTTGGTGGCCACATTTTTGAGTAACAAATTTTCGAAATTTTTATTGTTGGAAAGCAAAACCTCTTTTTAATGACCCTATTGATTTTAGAAAAATTTCTTCAAGAAAAAAAGTTTGGTTTTTTTGTTGATTTTTAAATAAAGTTAACTAAAAAATTTGTTTCAAATTTGGGAATTTTTATTTAAAATTTTTTTGGATCAATTTCTTAGCTTGGAATGATAAGGAAAGTTTGCATATAGTTTTAGAGTGAACCTGATAAAATTTAGTGTTAAAAAAATTAATAAAAATTTTATATAAACAAATTATTTGAACAATAAGATTTATTAAGCTAATTTTAAAACTATACGCAAATTTTTTTAATCATTTTAATCTAAGATATTAAATTAACCAAATGCCCAAATTGGAAAAAAATCAAAACTTTTTTTTTGTTAATATCATTTATAAATAGAACAAAATCAAACTTTTTTATTTTGGCGAAATTTTTATAACTAATTTTATAGTTATAGGTAATTGAAAATTGGTATGCTTTCAAAAAATAAAAATTTCGGAAATTCATTATTCGAAATTTTGACAACCAAAAAAATTTTTAAATACGTATACTTTTTTTCTCTGAGTAACGAAAATGAAATATTTTTCCAAAATTTAAAATGTGTACTAAAATCTGATGTGGAATCGCTCATGTACCTCTGATGGCTAGAAGTTTAGCAGAACTCAGAGTTTCAGTGGGCACCCTGCCAGCATTACTACGGTTACTGCTAAAACCAGTAACGGTACTTTTTCGCAGAACTTCTTTTCCAAACATGTCAATCGCAAACCGCTTGACAATTTTTGGAAAAGACTTTTCTGTGGACATTACGTCTGCATAGGTTTCAGTTGAGATCCACTGTTCTCTTCCCATGTACAACTGTAAAAAATAAACAATCTAATTATTTCTATTACAAAACTATATTTCTGTAAAAAAGCTAGATTAGAAAAAATATATTTCAATTATTTTTGACTATTTGTTTTGAAGAGGAAAAAGATTTTTTAAATAAAATAAACTTAACTTACTTTTGACCTGTCTGCATTGTACATTCCAACAGGGGAATCCAGAGACTCTTCTTGTATTTGCATAGCCTGACTATGCATTTTAATAGTATCTGCAATAAAAAAAATAATTGCAATAAATTTAAGAAATTCACATTTACAAAATATTTTATAAATAGGCATTATTTTTTTAAAAAACTTTTTAAACGAAGGAGCCAAATAACTTACCGTGAATTGTGTCCATTTTTTGATGAATGAAATATTGCGATTGTCTGTTGAGATGTCTTAGCTCTTCATTTTCTTTAAGCACATTCTCCAGTCGAGTACTTATTTCTTCAAGCTTTGCCTCCAATTCTGCTGCTTTCAATTTACTCGCTTTTAATTCTTTATTTTTTGATTTCAATTGCTCGCTAATGTTTCGACATTCTCCTTTATAATTGTTAACAATATCACTCAGAGAACCAATTCTTGATTCCCTTCTTTTATCTGAATAAAAAAAAGTATTCTTAAGTGCACAGTCAAATCAAAATTTTTATCTACATTAAATACTTGTAAAAATTGAATTTGGTCGTAAATAAAAGTATAATTTGCAAAAAAAATGTTTCAGCTGAATAAATATTTTTAATAATAAGGATTGTGATAAATTGCGATTAAACATTTATAATATGAAACAATAAAAATAATACTAAATTAAAAAATGATAATACTACAAAATAAAAAAAAATGGCAGTTATTTTGTTAAAAGCTTGTTTTTAAATTGAGAGATTTTTAAATTGAAGTTAAATTCATCATAAATCAGGGTTGCCACATAATTTTGATTTTCTGTTTCACGGACTTTTCCCTAATTTCAGATGGAATTTTGTTTTTTTTTTCCTGACTTAAATAAAAAATTTTAAGACGTTTTTATTTAAAAAAAAATTAACAAAAATTTTTTCAAATTTCAAATCTCTAAATTTGTCAATTTTCTAATACTTTTTAGAAAATCACTTAACTTTACCCTGCATTCAATGATTTTCCTGACCCCTGGCAACCCCGTAAATATAAATTGAAATATATAAAAATATAAATTGAAAATAATATAAATATAAATTAAATATAATATATAAATTGTTAACCCTAAGAGAATTATTTCAGTAAATAAATAAATAAATAAATAAAATATAAATAAATTGAAAAATAAACACTTTCATTACCGACAATTGTTTCTTCAGAGAAACTTTTTTCACTATAATGAGACAATGCACTGTTGCTTCTTTCTTGATCTTGCTGAATGCATACTGGAGATTCTGAAGATTTATCATTTGTAACAGGTGCAGTTACGTTTTGAAAATGTGTGGTCTTTTCCGATTCACTCCTTCTTGCAAAAGAAAAGTTTTCGACAGATTTTACAGAATCTACATCTATTGGCGGTGTAGATGTCACCAAACAGTTGATTTGTACAGTCGCATTTAAATTCTGAAAATGATGGAGATTTTCATGAAAAAAAGTTTATATTTATAAGAATAGTATAATATAAATCAGTCTTAACTAGTATTTTTAACACGTTAAAACTATACTGCAGATAACAAGTTTTTTTTAAATTATTAAAGTTATAAAGAAAAATTTTTTTTTATTTAAATAAAAAATGTATTACATAAAAATAAAGAGTTCTAAAAAATCGATAAATCCGTATATTATATTTTTATTAAATTTAAAAAAATTTGTCATTTTACATAACTACTAAATTAATTTACGTTTTTTATATTAAAATTAATATATCTTTCAATACATACCTCTAAAGACTGTTCACCATTTTCTAACGATTTGCCGGACTCTGATGAAGCAGTTGATTCATTGGAGGCAATTTTTATTTTTGCGGGTTGCTTCTTTCTCGTCACAATCGGCTTTGATTTGGCAGTAATAGGATGGTTTGAAATCTAAAATTATAATTAAAATAAAGAATAATCAATAAACAAATAACATTAATTATACGAAAATAGGAAAAAAATTAAAATTGCGTCTAAAAACTGACATTTATCAAAAGCGAAGTAATCAAGTTTCGATTTTTTTATTTTATTACAATCGCTGATAAATAAAGAAATATTTCTTGTTTATGTGACAGTATTGTTCTTTACCGTTAAGATACTTTTTACCATTTTTGAACTAAAAAATTATAAAATATTATTTTAACAGTAAATCACACTACTATTGCATAAACGAAAAACATTATTTATCAGAGATTATAGTAAAAGAAATAAATCAAAAATCGGTTACTTCGCTTTTGAGAAATGTCACTTTTTAGACATTATTTTCGATTTTTTTTTCATGTTTCCGTATAATTAACGTCATTTGTTTATTACATATTTGAAATATTAAAGAAAGCACTTAACATTACTTTTATCTTTTAGTATAATAGAAAAAAATGCTTCTGAAAAGTGCCCTGGTACTAAAAAAAATATAATTTAAAGAATCATAACTTCCATAATTTTGATGAAATAGAAAAATAAAAAAGGAATTTCTTTATTTTTCATATAGAATTAAAAAAAATTGTTTAACAAAATAAAATTCGATTTAAAATTTGACGATGAATGCCCTATATAATATTTAAAAAAAAATGTGTTTCATATTAAAATAGATTTTTTAATACCTCTGCTAATGGTGTCCTAGGGTTCTCCTCTTCTCCAAAAAGAGACGAATGAGTAGTAGATTCTAGTCGTTCCGCAAGATGAGAATTTATTTTCTCAATGGAGTGGGGAGCCTACAGAAAGGAAATCTTATAAGCGACTGTGCATAAACTACCTTATCAATTTTTCGACTTTTTCAACCACCCTGCCCCCTTTATGTTCAACCGTGGCTTTTGTTACCCACCCTCTTCCTACAAAAAAAATATCGTTACTTTGAACTAAAATCTGAAATAAAACTGCGTTTTAATGTTTATTGTTTAGAAAAATATTATTTTTGCGTAATTCAATGAAATAATTGAATTATTATTATTTTTAATAAATAATTCAATAATTCAATTAAAACCTCATTAGGTCAATCCAGTGACTTTCGTCTGAAAATAGTTGCGGCCATATTTTTAAAAATCAGTGAATTTTCCCAATTAACAATTTATTTTTTTAACTTTATTACAAATAATTTGCATATACAATGATACAATATAATTAACTGATTTATTTAGCTAATTTCAATATATTGTTTCCACCCCCCCCCCCCCCCCCCCATTTCTTAGATCAGAAATTTTTGACCCCCGCTTCTCGTAAAATAAATACATATAAATAGAGATAACTTTTTTTCCACACACACAACCCCCCACTTGGACGGTGTGACGTATAACTTATGAACAGCCTCTATGTACATGTCTGCGAATATAGATATTTTAATGTTGTATAAATATGTTATGGAAAAAATAATACCTTTCGATTACTTGGCTGTTTAGACTTTTTATCAGGTCGTAATTCATCATCTGTCGACAATTCAGTAGCTGTTTCAACAACTTTCCTTGGTGGAACATGTGATCGTTTTCCTGTTTTTTCTTTCAAATCATCCTCTGTTGCTATTAGGTACCGAAAAAAAAAGAATTCTTAACTAATGTAAAAAATTTTGCAAGTTTAAAATTGTTTCCCAAATTTGTATTTGTTTTAAAATGGAATATAGAAATAAAATATGGAATTATTGTACACTGCACTTTTTGGAGTGTTATACAAAGTTGATAATCAACACAATGATTTTCGAAGTAAAAAAATATATATATATATAAGTGATATAATATATAATTATCATATATGAGCGATTCCACGTAAGATTTCAGTTCTCATTTTAAATTCAGTCAAACATTTCTTTTTATGTTCCTTAGAGAAAAAAAGTATACTTATTTATTTTATATATTTTCTGGGTTAAATTTTAGTCATGAATTTTCACAATCTTGATTTTTTGAAAGCACATCTATTTTTAATGACAACTATTGACAATTATTGAGTATAGAAAAATTTTGCAAAGAGAAAAAAATTTGGGTTTTCTTCAAATTTTAAATTGTAGTTTTATAAAAAAATGTGTTTTTGAATTTTCATTTAAAAAATTATAATTGTTATAAATAAATTCAGTTTTTTCAGTATTGTTATTTTTTTAAATTTTTTGCTCCATTTTTTAGCTTGGAATGATAAGAAAAATATGCATGATGTAGTTTTAGAGTGAGCTTGCAATAAATCTTCAGGCGGCCACTAAAACTTTGTGATAAAATTCAAGGCTAATTCCAGGTTTTTTCAAGGTTGTAAAAAAATTTTTGAGGTCTAAAAATTGCAATTTGAATACACAAATTTTAATTGAAATTCAATTGAAAATGCAAAAAACAGGCTGTTGAACAAATCGAAAAGATCGAGCTTTAGATTGCGAAGTTTAACCATTTGTTTATTTATTTAGTAATACAATTATTAAAATTTAAGGATTAAAAAATAAATTTACGTCCAATTCCAAATGAAAATGCATTTAAATAAAATAAAATTTAAAAAAATTAAATTAAAATTAAAAAACCATTTAAAACCATTTATTTCTACAAACATTTACAAAATGCATTTATTTTTGCTTTCATATGAGAGAAATAAAGAGTTCTCTTGATAAAAAAATTTTCTTGTTTTAAAAAATAGAAAAAAAAGAAAAAATTTTTTTTTATTATTTTAAATTGTTCATAAAAATTATGATTTTTTACATAACAATTTAAAATAAATTTTTTTTTATTCTCATTTTTATTTTTTTTGGATATAAAAGGTTTCTTGTATCATTATAGAACTATACATTTTGCTTATAATAACGCAAAATAAAGTAGAAGAATTTTTTTTTACAATCAAATTAATTAAATAATAAAATCTATCAGGCCCAATCTGAAACTGTATGTAATATATTATCATTCCAAGCCCAGAAATTAAGCCAAAAAATTCCATACAAAATACAAGTTAAGAAATATTTATGCAAAATACCATTCAAAAATATAGTCACTGGAAAAAAATAACATCGAAATAAACCCGAAAATTGACCCCGAAAATTTTCGCTAATTAAAAATTAAAATACACAAATTGAAAAAAAAATTAATTTCATCATAAAATATTATAATTTTTAAAATACAAATTCAAACAATTTTCTTTGTTAATTTAATTTAAAAATCGATGAAAAACCAAATTTTTTTCTATTTGCGAAATTTTGGTTACGAAAAGAAAAATATATGTGTATTTTTTCTCTCTAAGGAACCAAAAAAAAAATGTTTGCCCAAATTTAAAATGTGAACTATGTAAAATCTGATGCGGAATCACCTATAGGTATTTTCCAATAATTGTTCAAAAGAGCCGAAAATTTAATAAATTGAAGTCCACAATGTATATCATCATCTAAGCTTCTAATAAATTTATTTCTTTTTCAAGAAAAAAAGGATATTTTAAAAAAAAATTTTTAATTATTAATAAAATAAAATTATGTAAAATAATTTTTCAGACTGAAAATTTAAGAAATTTATGTAATACTATAAAAAATATTAAAATTAAATGAAATTTTTTGTGATGATAAAATGCTGATAATTCTTTATAAACTTCAAAAAATAATGTAATATTTTATAAAATTTTTAAATAATTAAATTCTATAAAATCTGTATGAATATACCTATTACTGAATATAATTTATGTAACGAAGAATTTTTGAAAAGTTTTTAAAATAATATTCGCAACATTTGAAATGCCAATTTTTGTACTAAAAGTAGAATTTATTATTAAAAATTTATAATTTTTCTATAAGACGATATTTAAGTCCACGACGTTTGTTATCAACGAATCAAAAAATCCATAAAAGCAATTTTTAAAAATTCTTATTGAGACAATAATTTTATTCAAATGATAGAAAAATATTTTTTTTTTAAATCGGTAATCATAAATGTTGCAAAGATTTCAACTTCTTGATTTTGATAGAATTAATATATATGTTCGACACAATTTCAATTTCTTAGATATTGTTTTGTTAGTTACATTATATTTTTTTCAACATATTTGAAATATTTAAGAACAAATGATTTACTTTCAAATAGCACATTTTACATTATTATTTACCTTTTAATATAATTTGGAAAAAATACGTTTAAACAGTCCCAGGCTTAAGGACGTAAAATTTAAAAAATTGGTAATTTTAATTATTTTCGTCAACTAATGAAATAAAAAAAAATTATTTTTCATAAATATATAACTAAAAAACATTTTTTAAATAAAAAAAATTTTTAAATTAGAATTTTACGAACATTATATCCCATTTTTAAAAGAAAAATTGGAAATTTATTCTTTTGGGGCCACGTGGTGTTAAATATAAATCCATTTGTAACTTAAACTGATGATATATTTTCAATTAAAGTATGTAAAGAATAATTACCACCGAAATCTGTGATGAATCCTTCTTGAATTCCATTATCACTTTTGATTTTGTAGGCTCTTTTTTTATTTTGTTGATCAACTTTAAAATTAACAATTTTTGACACCGGCACAATTATACTCTTTTTAGTCGTCCAGATGAAACACCGAGCAAAATTAATTGGTTTCGACTTTGGAACCATTATTTATAAAAATATCTTTTTTTATATTTTATTAGTAAAAAATTACTAAAACGAAAGCAACACACACATTAAATGCCGAACGAGACAAGTGCCTGAAAACAAAGACGCAATAAGAGAAAAAGGAACTGTAACCCAGTCACGACCTTGACCGGTGATATGTCAAAGGAACCAATCAAAATTAATCAAGCGCGTTAGATTTGACGAATCTTCCGGGCAGGAACGGGCCCTATCTACTTGGGCCCTATCCTTGTAAAAAAAATTTAAACATTAAATTATAGTCATCTGTACGTATAGCAGTATTAAATGCTCTTATAAAGTGTATAAAAATTTTTTTAAAGATTGTGGTTAGTAAATTTGATAACAATTAGACAGTAAGTCTTGCAATAATACCAAATAACACCCAGTGACCATAAGGACTAATTACGGTATTTGAAAAGTCTCCAACGTCGATCAGTTCAGTGTTTGCCAGTTGCCCAATTTTAGAGGGATTACAGAAGCGTCTTTTATAATTTTACAGTAGAATTGTTGACAAAATTTTAAAAAATGTGGTTCACCTACAAATTTATCATAAATAAATTGAAAAGTGATTTGATGTAAAATGTTTTGTATTATTGTTTCAAGTAAAAAAGACATGAGAAGGTACATTGTGTGGAATTCAAAAGTGTAAGTATTTATCTTTCTTTAAGATCATATCATGGATTCTATTTTCATAAATAATTAGTCATACACGTTTCCTTTAAATGGGTAGAATCGAATTTTATATTTTAATATCATTTCATTGAGAAAGTTTTTTATTTATTAAAATTAAATAGTTTTTTTAATGCATGGATCTATTCCAGCAAATACGTCTATAAAACACAATTTTCCTTGATAATTTGAGATGGTATGTGTTTTAACGAATTTGAGTTAAACAAAGATAGTATTAATTTTCACTTCCCTCAAAATAGATGCAATACATACATTTAAGAAATCACAAAATAACGACATTTTTTTAAACTTGATTTAACATTTTTTTATAAAAAAATTTTTTTTAATTGAAAATTTTAGTTGGTAAAGAAATAATTAATTAATTAAGCTGGTGACGTTGAAATTAAATTTTAAAAATTTATTTTTCTTGAAATTTTAATTTAATATTTTTTTATTCCAATTAATTAAGTAAAATAAATAATTTTTTATTTGATTTATATTCATTTTCAAATATTTGTTTGGTTAAATTGTTTTAAATAAATACTTATCGAATAACATATAAATAATTTATTTTATGGAATCTAATAGTTATTTTCTATTTAAATAAAATTTTTTAATCAGAAAAATGGTCAAAATTTTTTAAGCGAATCACCTACAAAGAAAGATAAATTTTGTTTAAACCTATTGTGATTAAACTAAGTTTTAAATATTTTTTTAAGCAAAAAATTGTTTGTCGATAAAGTTATTAACAATTTAATTTTTTTGCAGCATTAAGTAAATAAATGGTTTTTTTTAAATCCACTTTACCCATTTCAAAATTAAAAAAAAATTATTTTTTGTCTTGAATTATGAGGTTTAAACTAGGGTTTAAAAAAAATGTTCAAAAATTTTTTATTCGTAATAGTTGTTTAAATCGCTTATTTAAGAAAATGTTAATTTGTTCCTCGAAGAACAAATGAATTAAAAATAACTGTTTGTATATTTAAAAAGTGTTTAAATTAATGCAGGATTATGTAGAATTATATAGTCTTGCCAGTTATTTGCTTTTTTCTTGAGAAATTTTGTTTTTCTATAATTGACCCAAACTACGAAATTGAAGTCCACGTTTATTATCAATGATTAAAAACCATATATATTTGTTCAAAAACAAAATAATAAAATTAAAATTTTTTTTTTTTTAATTTTTGATTAAAACAATTTATTTAAAATTATTTTTCACATAAAAATTTTAAAAAATTGTCTTAGAATAATATATTTACTTTTATTAAATCGTTGAATAAACGTTGTTAACTTCGTCCCAAACTGGACTCATCCGCATAATATTGTGTTTGAGTGGTCACCCTAATCTTTAATTTCAATAAATGTATTTAATCAAAACAAGCAGTTTTCATTTAAGACAATAATAAAATTTTCCAAAATTATAATTATTTAATATTGTTTTAAATGAAACAAAGCAAAGCAAAAGAAAGTTATTGTTGAATCTCCCACTGACGCGAGCAGTCGTTTTGCTAAGAGAGACGAATGTAGTTAATCGCTCGGCGAGTCCAAAGATAAATATTCGAAGGAGAACCAAACCGATTGTAGCCAAATAATATCGATTCAGACAGTCTGGCGCCTAAGATCATTCTCCGTATAAACTCACATTCTCTTTCCCTTCTCCCTTGCCGTGTAAAAGATTAGACACAAATATTTTCGGCGGCTTATTAATTCAAAATTTTAGTGGATCGATATTTAAAAAACATTAATTTTTATTTCAATAAGAAATTGTTTAAAATATATTTTTTTAAAGTTTAAATTATTTATTTATTTTTTACAAATTTTCAATTTGAAAATATAACGTATATTATAATTTAAATGCAAATAATTTGTATTTAAAATTTAAATAATATTTTTTTGCTTAATAGATAGATAATTATAATAATTTTAATAAATTCTTAATATTTTAAAACGTAAAAATCGCTTTATAAAATTTAATAAATTTATGCAATATTACATCTTAGTATTATAATAATATAATTTAGTTTAATTCAAGGTTCAATAGATTTTTTTTACAATAATTTTGAAAAAAAACTTAGCGAAATTTTTTTAAAAAAGGCGAAAACCAATTAGTCAAGATTATAAATTTTAATTCTATCATCATTATTATTTCAATAAATATGTAATTTTTTAAAAAGCAAAAATGAACTTGTGCTGTACGTTTCCCATCTTTTTTTGATGCAAAAACTGATGTGTTCAGATGTTTGTTTGCACATAATAATATTTTCTTACTGGATATTGCCTTTGTATAAAATAAAAAAAATTTTGTTAGTATTTCTTGGATAAGCAGAGGTTGTTTTTTGCAAGTGTGAGCTCAATATATGCTGACAACGGATATCAGTTAGGGAATAATTTTTAAAAAATTTATAATCTTTTTAAGTAAATTTCTGAACAAGAAATAGTCAAAATTTACCTCTATTCATGTAACCTTTTTTATTTATTCATTAGATTAAATAATTTTTTTTTCTTGAAGGAAACGTTGGTCTTTTAATTATAAATAAACTTACTTTTATTAATTTAAGAATAAAGAAATATATTTAACGTTGGAAAACTTGTTTTTATTTAAAAATTGTAGGTGATTCGTTTGAAATTATTTTTGACTCACAAGTCAAGTAATTTTTTCTTAAAGTTGTTATTTAATCATTTAAAATGAAGGATATCAATCAAATAACTCGATCCGCGCGTCAAGCAAAGTTTCCTTCTGGTGCCACCTTCTAGCTGAGTAGTTGACTTTTGAATTAGATAAATCTATTCTAGTTATCTAATTGATCTCCTGAATAATAATTATTTATGGCAAAAGAAATAATAAAATTTGTATTTAAATTTTTTTATAAATTTGATTTATTTCTTAATTAATTAATTTATTTATTAATAACGAAATTTAATTTATTTTAGAATTTTTTACAACAATTATAAATATATAATATTGTAGTAATAATAATAAATAATTAAGTTTTTGAAAAATTTATTGAAAGTTTTACTTTAGATATTGCTAGTTGGACGTAAACGAAAAAACATCAGGATAATTATTTCATGTCAACCAAGATCTTTTACAAAAAGTAAAAGCGTGTTAATCTGGAAATTGTGATAAAATATTCTGGGCACTCAATCTTCTTTTTACAATAATGGATATTTATTGTTTATGAAATAAAAGGATCGCTGAAATCATCGTTCATGAAACTGGCATTTTAGGATTAAAAGGTATCAAATAAAAGATTTTTGATTACTATTACCCAATTAAACGATAATTAAAATTTAACCTCAGTTTAATTTTCAAACGTTACTTGATATTCAGTTTTTAAAAATATTATTTTAGTTTACAAAATATATACATAAAAATACATTCAAAATTTGAGAACTAAAGTGGAATTATTTTAAATATAGATTATCTTTATGAATCTTACTAAAATTTAGGTTTAAAAAATTTTTTAATCACTTCTGTATATTTTACCTTCATTTTTTTATCATGATCAAGGAAAGATTAAAAATTACGTCAAAAATTTATTTTATTTTATTTTATCATTTGTCTGTTTTGAGAGATTCTTCTTTATGTGGTTTGTAAATAAATTATTTGTTAAGATTTCTTAAATGGAAATGTTTATTAAGTATCTAGATATAATTTTTCTTGTATATTGTAAGGTAATATTTTTAAATACCTATATATAAACAACATCAGGGTTGCCACAGACCTGGAAAACCTGGGAAATGGAATTTTTTTTCAGTCATGGAAAACCTGGAAAACCTGGAATTGTCAGGAAATTTTATAAAATCCCTTTCTGAAAATTTAATTTCCTTTATTTGAATAAAGGAAATCTCAAGTTTCCAAGTTAAAATTACAAATATTTGATTTTAAATTTAACTTTTACAGTTGAAATTAATTTGACGTTTATAAATCTTTGCTTCTCAAGCATTTTACATGAAACAGACATCCCAATTTTTTATTCTTTTTTAATATTTTTAAATTCCAAATTTTTATATAAAATCCATTGAAATAAGTACAATATGTGACAAATTTCCAGTAAAATTAATGATATTTTAGGATATGACCATAATTTTTTAAATTAAATTAATTTTCATAGAAGCAAAAATAAAAGTAAAAACAATTATTAATTTTTTTGTATGAAAATTAATTAAATTTCAAAAATTATTGTCATATAACCTAAAATATCATTAATTTTATTCACGGCTGCAATTAAAAATAACAAATTATAATAGTTATTCATTTATCTCAGCTAGCAAAATATTTATTTAAATATTGATCAATTTTTATTAACTAATTTGTTTATTATTCAAAATTCCCAGTTTTTCCTGACCAATTTTTTTGAATTTCTCGTTTAAATTTTTATCAAAATATCTCTCAACTGTTGAGAAAGTTTAATTTCTTTTTTTACATAATTTTATAAATGATTTTAATAAGAAATTTATCGAATTTTCAAAATAGACAAGTTTTTCAAGTCAATTTTAAAATCTCGATAATTTCATTGTTTTTTTCATTGTTACTATAATCAATTAAAATTGTTGAAAGTGTAAATAAAATCAAATATATAATCTCAGCTAAGATTTTTAATTAATTCGTATTTAAATAATAAAACTGAAAAGATTTTAAAGTTAATATTGAAAATATTTTTTAAAAAGTCGAATTGTTTGCATTATAAAATTTATCTTTTATAACTAATTTATCAAAAAACGAAACACCTGGAAATAATAAATAAATTGAATCAATTAAAAAATCGGATTTTTAAAACATTTAAAACAAAAAAATTTATCAGTCCTGATTTTACTACAAAATTGTCATATATTTATTCCTTAATTCCATGTATTTTTAATAAAATTTGAAAATTTTTAAATAATATTGTATTTTTTCACAAATACCTTAAAATTTATTTAAACAATTTTATACGTGGGTCTGGAATTTTTTTAAAAAAGGTCTGGAAAACATGGAAAAGTCATGGAATTTCAAAATCAAAATTTCGTGGCAACCCTGAACATCTTTTTTAAGTCATTGACTCATTGTTAATCTAACTTTGATTTGATTATTTCAAAACAATATTCTATTTAATTGACACAATTTAAAAGAAAATTTAAAAATAAATTTGAAGAACATTTTAATATAGGTAATTTTAATACTTTTCTATATTAACTAGGAAATAATAACTCTAAATTTGAATCAGCAAAATATAATTATAAATAAATTATTTGTTAAGATTTCTGAAAGGAAATGTTTAATATCTAGATATGTGACCTGGACAGTTAAAAGGGACCTTTTTGTCCGAAAAAATTAATTTTTTATTGATTGGTGATTCTGATAGAGAAAACTTTTTTCTATCAGAATCACCAATCAATAAAAAATTAATTTTTTCGGACAAGAGGTCCCTTCTAACTGTCCAGGTCACATATAATTTTTTTTGTATATTGTAAGGTAATATTTTTAAATACCTATAGGTATTTAAATTGACATTTTTAAATTAGCTCAAATTTTTTTACCTTTTAATACTCCATGAAAAAGAGGTCCATGATTTTTTTCAAATTTTTTTATGCAGCCGTTTAAAAGATGAAATTTTTAAAATTTGTTTATAACTTCTGCAAAAATGGATCAATTTTAATGTTACCTATGTATATGAAAAATTTCAGTTTTTTGATGGACTTTTCAAAAATTTGATGCAAAAAATTATCGAAAAATTATTTACTACTTTTTTTGTAATTTATTTGTTAAAATCTTATTTTCAAAATTGTTTGTATCCTTCGATTTTTTCGAAATAATTTTTAAACAAAACTATTTCTTTTTACGCAAATTTTCAGCCTAATCCCGTCGTGGGTAAATGATTTTTACTATTTTTTCAGGATTTTTTTAAATTATCAAAATTGAGTATTGTCTCATGCAAACCTCAGATTATTTTGGTACTACACATTCTTATATATTTTTATGCGTTGATTATGAAAATCATTGTCACAACGACCGAAAACGTGATTTTTGTGGTGAAAACCATAAAAATAACATAATTTAATGGTTTTTTTTATCTCATAAAATATGCAAAATATTAAAAAATGCTTCAAACAAAAGTTGTAGTTATCATAAAAATACATTTTTTTATGTATTATGGTTTTTTGCCAAAAACTAATAATAATGTAAAAATTTGCTTTTTGAGAAAACCAATAAGTTTTAACAAAAATAGTGTAATACGTGAAAAATGTATTTTTATGATATCCACAACTTTTGTTTGAAGCATTTTTTAATATTTTGCATATTTTATGAGATAAAACCAAAAAACCATTTAATTATGTTATTTTTATGGTTTTCACCACAAAAATCACGTTTTCGGTCGTTGTGACAATGATTTTCATAATCAACGCATAAAAATACATAAGAATGTGTAGTACCAAAATAATCTGAGGTTTGCATGAGACAATACTCAATTTTGATAATTTAAAAAAATACTGAAAAAATAGTAAAAATCATTTACCCACGACGGGATTAGGCTGAAAATTTGCGTAAAAAGAAATAGTTTTGTTTAAAAATTATTTCGAAAAAATCGAAGGATACAAACAATTTTGAAAATAAGATTTTAACAAATAAATTACAAAAAAAGTAGTAAATAATTTTTCGATAATTTTTTGCATCAAATTTTTGAAAAGTCCATCAAAAAACTGAAATTTTTCATATACATAGGTAACATTAAAATTGATCCATTTTTGCAGAAGTTATAAACAAATTTTAAAAATTTCATCTCTTAAACGGCTGCATAAAAAAATTTGAAAAAAATCATGGACCTCTTTTTCATGGAGTATAAGAAGGTAAAAAAATTTGAGCTAATTTAAAAATGCCAATTTTGATGATATGTCAATTTGGCGTGGAATGTCTCATATAAAGAACATCTTTTTTAAGTCATTGACTCATTGTTAATCTAACTTTGATTTGATTATTTCAAAACAATATTCTATTTAATAGACACAATTTAAAAGAAAATTTAAAAATAAATTTGAAGAACATTTTAATGTAGGTAATTTCAATACTTATTTCTATATTAACTTGGAAATGACAACTCTAAATTTGAATCAGCAAAATTTCGTTGATTCTCATCTATAATTATACCATCAACTTTCAAGCATCGTATACATAAAGCAATGAATAAATCGGTTACTTTATACACCGTAAGGGGAATAAAGGCTACGCGGAGATAAAAACTTCTGTATCTTTTTAGTAGAAGTTTCTCTTCCCATAACCATTTACGCGCGGGTAGCCTTTTCTCCTCTGTGCAGTGTAAAGGCACTTAATAAAATTTCACTGATTTTATATTGACTGGCTATGTTTTATTTGTACAGAAACATTTCCTTGGGAAAACAAAGATAAGAATAGGACTTGAAATACATATGTACCAACAGGAAATATGGAAAACGACGAAAATAGTGGCGAGAGGACAAAAGGCAATGTGAAAACAAAAGTTGCATCAAAAATCAAGTTACTGCAACTGCAGTACGGTATGTTATTATAACATTCAAAAATAATTTAGTATAGTTTAACAATAAGCAAATATTATTTTAGAATAATAAATTGAAATCTAAATGTAAATCACTATTTAGAACTCGAAAAGTGGTGCGCCACCGACTTCTTTTTAGAATTTTATTTTTCTCAGGCTAATAACTTAAGGGGAGACTAGGGATGATACTTCCAACTATATGAAGGAATTAATTTTAATTTTAGACAAAATAATTTTTTTTTACTTTTTTTCTTGTGATAATATAAAAAAATTGGATCAAAACATTTTTGAACATTGTTTAAAAGTGGAGAAAAACAATTTATGTTTCGATACAAAAACCCTTCAGTAATTTTGTAAAAAAATATAATTATTTATTTTAACCCTCTTACCGCACACTTGTATCCAGCACCCATATACCGCACACAAGTGCGAATTGGGATTTCGTATTTTGAATAATCGCTTTAAGGATGAAGAAATCTTTGTAAATACATTCAATTATATATCATTTTGGGGTGAAATTTTCCGCACAATTCAATGGAGCAGTTGAATTTTACAAAAAAAAAAAATTTGTTATAGAAAAATTAATATTAAAAAACTGCTGTTTTTAAAAAATTAAAGAAACATAATTTTTGGCAGTGCGAATTCGCACCTGTGTGTGGTAAGAGGGTTAAAGAATGTTACAAAGTAAAATTTTTTGTTTCGCTTTTTTGTAGCATTTTTTCGATTTAAAAATGCATTTTTGTTTTTTAAAATCAAATATTTTTATTATTATTATTATTATTAAAAATTATTTGAAAATAATTAAATACAAGTTTTAAACAATATCGTTTAATTAATATAATTAATAATTATAATTATAATAATAATTAATAACAAAAGAAAAAGATTTCACTAAGATTGTATTATTCTTATTGTATTGTTTTGGTATTATTAATCAACTTAACTTTTTTATACGAAACGAAAATTCAATTGTACGTTTTAAATACTTGTAATATATGTTATAAATTAAATCAAAATAATTTTTTTAATCCACTATTGTAAATATTTTGAACCACAAATGCAGCAATGAACAATATCTTAAAAAATTACTAATACATTTTTTAAAATTTTAAACATTTTTTCAAGCGCAATCATAATTTTAATGTGTTAATAATTTGTGATCATATCTTAAATAATCTAATTTCAATAATCTTAAATCTGATTTCAATTAATAATTTTTTAAATGTAGATGCTGCCCGAGAATATGCTGCAAAATATAGAAAATTGTCTGAAAACCGACAACAAAGTTTACCGGATTTCGATGAGGATCAAAATATTGTGCCACAAAGTAGTGGCAATGAGAATGACGAAGCATCTGCATTCTTCCCTCAGAGTGTTGCAGAAAATCCTGAAGAATGTAACAGCAACTTAGATCCTGATGAAAGTGACTCCAATGAAAGTGACTCCAATGAAGACACAAGTGACAATTTTAACAATTTCAACGATGGAAACTACGAACAGTCTTCTTTTCTAGAATCTAATAACACTCTGATGTTCCCTCAATCAGGCTTACAAGTAAATGACGTAATCGAAATGCTGATGGGATATTTTATTCAGTTCGGATTAGTCGAAGAAGCTAGAATTAAATTAATTAATATCATCAAAATTTTAGCTGGTCCTCTATTTAAAAATTTGGAAATTTCAAATTATATGCTGAATAAGGTTATGGATGCACCACCGGATAACGTTATTTTTCATTATTACTGCAAAGAGTGCGAAAAAGAAGTTGTTCATTCATCCGTAAAGTCAGGTATTAAGGGACAGAAAAAAATTTGCCAACAATGTCAAAGTAAAAATAAAATTACTCTTAATAATAACAAGTATTTTTTGACTGTAAATTTCGAATATCAGCTTCAATTATTGTTAAAAAATAAAGAAATCAGAGACCATCTAGTAGGTACAGTTTACGGTAACAATAAACGTGACGAGACCAGTGATATTAGGGATATTCAAGACAGCAAATTGTATAAGGAGACAAAAATTAAATTTCCCAACACAATTACATACAATCTAAGTACTGACGGAGCACCTGTTAGCATGGGTAAATCTGGAGTACGAAGTTTCTGGCCTCTATCGGTTATTATAAATGATTTGCCACCAGAAATTAGATTTAAACATATATTGCTTGTAGGTATGATGATGGTTACCTCTGAACCTCCACCACATTTGATGAAATTATTTATTGATAAATTCAAGGAGGATGCTTTCCGCTTGCACACGATAGGTTTATTATTAGAATTAGCGAAAAATTATAAAATAAAATTGACATTTACAATTCTCTGTATAATTGCGGACTCTGTTGCTAGAGCTGTACTGCAGTATAGGATGCAATATAGTGGATACTGCAGCTGCACTTACTGCTACCAATTAGGATTTTATTTCGGGTATGTAAGGTTTCCATTCATAGGGAGTAAATGCGAGGTACGAACACATGACTCACACATGAGTGATGTTTATCTATGCGAAAAGAACGGTAAAGCAGAAAATGGCGTGAAAGGACGATCTTCTTTTTGTAGTTTTCCCAACGTTGACATGGCGCGAAGTTTCAGTTTAGATTTCATGCATAATGGAGTTTTAGGAGTCGCAGAGCAAATGTGGAAATTAATGAAGAAAAACTTGACTCCTGTTCAACGTAGTTCTGTTGAACATTTATTAACCCTGATTCAGCCGCCAAGAGAGTTGCACAGAAAGCCGGAAAAATTATCGAAACTCGGTGATTGGAAAGCAACAAACTGGAAGGCTTGGTTATTTTATTACAGCGTTCCATTGTTACTCACAGTGGTATCAGAAAACTTTCCAATTGAGTCAGTGGAGTATTATGCATTATTTGTCAATGCAATGTACACACTGTCGAAAACAAAAATTTCCCGAGACGATTTAGTGAAAAGTAAAAAAGACCTTTTGAAATTTGTCTCTCACGTTGAAACAACCTATGGTTTATCAGCAATGACATTTAATATTCATTTGTTGTTACACGCCATTGAGAACGTAATTGACACTGGTCCTTGTTGGTCAACATCAGCTTTCCCCTATGAAAGTAATATTTTCATTTTGAAAAGCTCAGTGAATGGACCCAAAGCTGCAGATCAGCAAATGATTCGAAAATCCCTGCAGAGATTATTGTACAAATTTCGACCGAGGGACCATCTTCCTGATATTGTTAAAGAAGTCTGCGAATCATTTCTTACTGAAAAACGTTATACTCCAAGTGCAAAGTCTGTAGGCAATGTCACACTTTTCGGTTTCTGTGAATCAGATGATTTCCCACGAAACTACGAAACTTATGAACGTTGCTCGTACAAAGGAATGATCTTGACAACGGCTCATTATAGCAGAAATGAAACGCACAATGATTCGGCAATAAAGCTGGAAGATAACAGTGTTGCACAAATTTTAAACATTTTTGTACAACCAAATGGCCTCTGTTTTTTAAAAGTTCAACAATTAATTATTGAACCACTGTTCATTAATCATGTAAAAATGGAACACATATGGAAAGTACTTCCATCTCCTTCGAATCATAAGATTATTAATTTTAGCGCTGTACAATCAAAAATGATTGTTTTGGATTTAGACAGTATAAAAATACAGTATTTATGCAGTATGCCCAATTGTTTTGAAAAACAGTAACTCCAAATTTGTCTGTAAGCATGATTATTTCCATAAGAAGCACGTTTGTCTTTTAAATAAGTAGTTTGCACTTGTGTATGTTTCTACATATGTAAATAATATACTTTGTACACTTAAAAACTCAATTCTAAGCAATGAATGAATTCTTAATAAAATGAAAATAATTCAAAATCGCTATACGTAATTTTTAAAGTATATATTGAAAAACATTAAATATAGCTAAAAATTTTTATTATACATAAAATTTTTAAAACATTTTATCGATTTTGAAAAATTTTCTTATATTTTATTTTTATTAATTTTTTATTAATTTTATTCTTATACATTATTCACAAAAATTAGAACAAATAATAGATATTTTCTTTAAAATTAAATTCTTTATATACATAATTATAGATAAAAATGCTGTATCAGTATCATTTTCATTCAAATAAAAAATATGAACCAATTTTAATTAAAAACATGTAATAAATTATTGTAATTAATATAAGTTATTACCAAATAAAATATACATTATTGTTTTAATATGTTTATTAATAAATACAATATTCTTTAACTAATTAGTTGTGTCCAAAATACAAAAATTTTATTTATTAAAAAATTAATTTAAAATCATTTAATTTAATTAAAATTCATATTTTCATTATAAACATTTATTTCCAAATATTTCATTAATAATAATGATTAATTAAATTTATTAATTCAAATACGAAAAACTTGTAAATTCAATTTTTTAAACGATTTTCACATTAATAATATTAAATATTAATAATATTAAATATAATATTAATAATATTGATTATTTAAATATTTAAAATAATATACATACCTTGATTAATGATAAAAAACTTTTTAAAATTTCTTATATTCTCTTGAATTTAATTTCACTATTTGAATTTGCCGCTCGTCCTAGTAACTTTTTGTCGGTAACAGTGCATTCTCTTTTATGCTCAAGCCAGTGGTAACAAGTGGCCGTGCCTGTCGTGCCTGTCACAATTAACTTTTTCACTTTTTAACAAAATTCCGTATTTCCTGCACGTAATCAGCATTTTTACACTTTAAAACAGTCCCTTTTCTCGTTTATAATGCCAAATCGGGTCAATATACATTAATTCAAACAATTTAAGTAAAAAGAATTGGCCGTAAAAAAAAAGAATTGGTCGTAACCATTCAATACTGTATTGTCGCGAAACCGCATAGGCCTTAAGTCACCACCAATTCTTTTCGCTTACGGCCAATTCTTTTTTTTTTACTGGGAAAGTTTCAAAAGAACTGTTCAGTGAGTTTTCAAGAAAAACTTTTATTTAGAAATGAGTCTATAAGATTAAAATAGTTAATTATATACAAACTTACAATAGTAAGTATTGTTCAATAAAATAACTTTATGTATATTGTTGAATAAAATGTTTCATATTTTAATTAAACAGTAAAAATATTTTAACTTTAAGATAGCATTATTCACATACAGTTTTTAGGTTATGTTTGTTTTTTTTTTGAAAATCTTTTTATTTATAGGGATTCCAGGTCTTTAAACAAAAAAATTATATTTATATTGTATTTAAAATTTTTTCATATAAGTGAAATGTCTTCTCTTACTGGAAGTGAATATTCACGTATTCAGAGAAAGCGATTTACAACTTTTGAAATAAGTGAATAGCCAATCGATGCGCGAAAGAAGACTGCGCATTCGGATTCAATAATGAGTTCCTGACTTTCATCTTTACGTTAATAATCAAATGTAAAAAAAGTTAAAAACACTAACGAAAATATTTATTCGAAGTTTTGTAAGATATGTTAATAATTTTTTTTTAAATATTTATTAGGTATTCCTAATATGAAACATAATTAATGAAGTTCTCAAATTATTTTTCTTACACTGAAAAAATATATTTAAATCAAATAAACTCTATTTTAACCAATAATTTCATTAAATTTCGGTAATTTAAAAAAATACAAATAAATATATAATTTATAATATTTGAAGAAATTATTTGAATAATAAAATAAAGAGTAAAATGTTAATACAAAAAATAACAATTTATTATTATTAATATTTAATGATACGAGTGTGTGCGGTTCGAGCGAAGAGTCGGTTCTTCGATCCAGCTGCTCAATTAATGTAAAAAGCAAAAAGAACCCTGAATTTTGAATATCTACCAGTGCTGGCTTATTACTGGTTACTATAATTTTGCCCGTACTGGCAAAATACAGAATTACTACTAAATTCCAGTATTGAACCAGTACTGAACGCCAGTACTAAGTCATTACTAATGACCAGTACTAATAAATGACGTTATCATCCCAAACATATGCCAGTATTGGTTCAATATTGGCGGTCAGTACTTTGCCAGTAATTGCCAGTACTGGCGCAACACTGCGCCGGTTGTAAATTTTTGCTTGGGATGTTACCAATTATTTGTAGTCTGCAATTTAATATCTGTCATTTCTATATACCATTGTTATTTTAATTGCATAATTATTTTGTGATTAATTGTGGTTTCAATAATCATTTTTTATTCTACTTTATCTTCAAAAAAGTGTATAATAATATTATTCTCGATATTCAAAAATATAGTGAAATAAATATATCAATTCATAAACTTTTCAGTAATTGCATACCGTTTATAACAGTTGTACTTTGATACCAAATTTTAGGTATATCAAAAAATGATCTCAATTTTCGTATTATTTCTAAAAATGATTAAAATAATGCGGATCAAGTTTATATCATGTATGGGTATATTAAAATGTTAAATCTAATTTGTCTCTTTATTTGGGTTATGTTGCCCATTACCTTTCTTCATACAAAAAAATTCCAATGTAATTTAACTACGTCGGACGCATTAAAAAAAACAGTCATCAAGTTGTAAATTTACAAACCGGAAAGTTAAAAGACTACATAACCTAAAAGTTGTTTTTTATATTTTAGTTTTTCACTTATTCTGTTTCTTTTAGTTAAATAAATATACTTTTCTTTTGTAAAATACAATTTTATGATATTAAAATACATAAATAAAACACTCAATTGTTAGTAATTAAGTGATATATATAAAAAAATATATAAAAAAAACTTAATTACTAGCAATTGAGTATTTTATTTATGTATTTTGATATAAAATGGTATTTTATAAAATAAAAGTATACTTATTCGGCGCATGGTCACTTTTTCCAACGTTTAACGTAGTAAAATTACACTGGAATTTTTTTGTGTTTTTTAAAAATTAAAATTATGGAAAATTTGATCCACAGAAGGTAGAAATGATCATTTCTATAAAATTAACATTAAATTTTCCATAATTTTAATCTCTGTATTTCTTAAAAATATAAGCACAAAATAAGAAACATAACCTAAGTAAAAAACGAGTTACGGTATTTTAGTTTTTGCATGACGGAATTTATATAGACCTACCCCGATGAAATAAAAGGTATATAGTTTGAAGATGACCAAATTATATCTTTTAGATTGGTGTATTTTCCCCTCGCGCGGCAACGAGCGTGCGTTCGAAAATTTTGCATGTCTGCTCATATAACCCTCTTTTCTGTGACCTTTATACCTGCCCACGCTTTTATAAGTCAATTTGTAATATGAAATGTAATAAAATTCTCGACACGCGTTAATTTACCTTGTCATTTCTTACGTCATGGAAGATTGACTCAAACTAGTAACAGCTAGACCGCTTTTGTCAAATCGTTGGAGATGTCTCGCGATGAATCACTATCGTTCATAATTGTAACCACTTTGTTCATTCTCACCGGAAATATGAACGTCAAGCTTAATTTTTTAATTTTACGATTCACACAACAAACGATTTCGACAGGACATCCTGATTATTTCCTACAATACCCAATATATGTGATATTGAAAGCATTATTCAGAAAATCTAGGAAATAGAAAGATCTTTCAAGTCCCTTTTAACTTATACACCATGCATTTTCTCTGTCCGAACTATCCGAACTGTCGGAATTACAGTTTGCAGTGGCAGCGAACTATTTGCTGTCACATCAAATTACGTTAGCTAATATATAGGGACAGAGAACAAATTTCCTGCGGGGTCAAAAAAGTTTGATGTGACAGTAAATTTTAAAAAATTAAGACTGATATTGTTTATCTTAGCAAACCTTTTCGTTGTCATAGCAAAAAATTTAGCTGTGGTTACTAATTTTGATAGCATCTGTAAGCAATTCCTTTTTTTCCGTGTAAAAAATATTTATTTTTTTTTTGACATTTCAATTGCAAGAAAAATTGTAAATTATGAAAAGATTCGACTTTTATTTGAAAAGTTGGTTACTTTTCAGCAATTATTAAAAATAACAGTTATATTCGATATTTAGTTTTTCCCTGAAAATGAAAGTAAATGTCCTAATGTATACTGTCCGATTTGAAAGAACATATTATTATGATTATAAGAACTGAATTCTTTGTTTGTTCTGCTGAGTCAATAGATAGTTTCGAGTGGAATTTATGAATAAATTGTAACACAATTCACTTTTTTTTATTTCTTCACTTCTGTTTTATTCTTCATTTTGTTTTATTTTATTATGTTCATAGTTGTCAAAAATTCGTATTTTTCTTTAACTTTATTGTTTTCAAAAATTTACGAAAAGTAGATTCAGTGATAAAGAGAATTTTTGGCCTCCCTTTATATGTGGAACAAATATAAACATATTCAAGAAATTGAAATTGAATTCCCCTGGGTTAAACAATAATCCTTGGGAAACTACATCAATATATATTATATTAATTAATTTAATATATTAAAAATAATATTATTTATTTAAAAATTTAAAAATATTTTCAAGAAATAAATAAATGTAATTTAACAAATGAAATGTGTTGCTGATTCATATTTTGTATGAGTATATTGTAACTGAGAGTTTCATGACCAGGAAACGGAAACGTGAAACCCTATTGAAGTTAGGGTGTTTGCAGGTATTTGTTTTACGGGTTGTTTCTCTGACAACAGAGTACACTTCAAATATATAGAAAATTGTTGGGGTAAAAGTTACAAATTCTAATCAATAACGACAACACAAACTATTTTTAAAGACAAAATATTTTTATGTTTTAATACAACATAGCTAAAAAATTCTTCTATTTCTACTACTTCTAAACAAGAAGTGAATTTATTAAATTTTAAATTATCAAAAAATT